TTTAGAATACTGCAATTTTCCTATTACAAAGAAAGTATTGCTATGACATTTATTTATTTCAAATTCATCAAAACTATTTGTGTCTGATTTATAAAGAGCTTTAGAGGTGGAATCACTGTTTAGATGTTTGAGTATGATATTTAAAACTGAACTGAGAAACGGAGACATAGTTCTGATGTAACCACTAATAGGTTTCTTAATTTGCCATCTCTGATAGCTGATTGGTAACAGCAGCCAAATTAATATATGATAAACAAACATGTATATACTCTCTTCAATGATGAAATATAAATAAAAGGTAAAATTTTCCTTTATACGGATTGAGTACTGAAATGTTCCTGCAACTTTAACAGCTCAAGTAACTGGGGTTCATAAAGTCTTTCACGAATCTAAGGCTAAGAGCACAGGAAAGCATCTAGAGACGACAACTGTGAAAGGTAGCCAGAATGAAGAGAAGATACCTGAGAACAAAAAGACCTGAATGTTTTGCTGGGGAGATTTTAATGCAGATTTACGTATAATCCTCAACAAATTAGCTAGGAAAGCATATAATGCATGTATAGTCTTACAGTCTTTGGCAAAGGACAGATCAAGGCTCTAGACTCCCGTCACAATCCCACCACACTTTGCTCCAGGTGGGCTTCTGGCATTTTTCAAGCTAAACCAATCTCAGCTTTTCCTTGGGGTGTTGTCAGCACACATAATCATTGATAGGCACAACTAATGACTGGTGAACAAACTGTTAAAATCCACTTCTACTCGTGAAGGGGATTTGAGACTCCTCTGTCCCAGGGGAGGATGAGCTGACGCCTAAACCTGTGTAGTTTAATATGCATTCTTCTTCACAGATGAAGACAGCTCCAGTTCTATTTGGCCTCATCAAACTGAGCTACATCTCTATCTAGATCACCATTCCCAGGCAGCTACAGATAACTACACAGATTTAGACATTCCAAAGCAGCTACAGCAACACCTTTTCAATTGTTCAGAGCACCACTGGGACCTTTGCCGATTCCTGTGTTCACTCCCTCCCTGCCCATGTGCTGAACTCCCCAGCGCTGCTGCCACACCCCACCCCCGAGCACTGGCAGGGTTCTCCTGGGGGCCTGAGCACTGCAGCACAGCCTGGTGCGCTGCAGCCTAGGAAAGAAGCAATGAAGAATCTGTCAGAAGTGGGGTGGGTGAGGCTAGGTGAGCAGCAGCAGCATCTTCCTTTGGTCCTATGCTAGAAGAAAGAATGGTTGTAACACTGTCATCCACCCTTCCGTTCCCCTTCCTCTATGCACTGTAACTATGTCCATCGCTGAAGACACAGCAAGAAGGTGAAGGATGACTGTTGGACAGCCCTATTAATGTAGGTGTGCCCTCTGACCACAGAAGCTGCCAACATCCTCCTCTCCCAGAAGGTGGCAATATTTTGGTCACCTCCCCATACATTAACTGTCCTGGACATTTCCCATGGTGACTGGTGGGCAGTGTAAAGTTTAATAAATGGGTCAAACCTGCTTTCCCCACCACAAATGTCATCTTCTGCTCAAAACGAGACAGCAGAGCCATTTTCCTGCAGGGAACTGAAACAACAGCCATGAGATGAGATGGGGCACAGGCAGCCCGTCGGGAGCAGAGGGGTGCCTTCACCCATGCAGGGAGATGTTCCTCTATGTTCGGCTATATGCCAGGAGCTGATGTGGCACAGAACATCACAAGCACACGTGCACACGCTGCCACAGCTGCTAAGCAGCTTTTTCTGCTTACAGAGAAACCAGAGGGAAGCCAAAGCAGCTGCCAGTGCTGCGCAGACTGTGTAAAGGTGAAGCCCCTTTAAATCCCACAATAACCCTGAACAGTGAATCTGAAAGAGGCAGCACAGACCTCAGCACAGGCTTAAATGCTCTTGTGAGCTATTATACACTCCTGAGGGGCAGAAGGGAGAGGGACTTACCCAGCCAAGCAACCAAGGATGCAGCAAGTCAGCTGCGGACCCTGAAGTCCACCTGACTGACACTGGACCTGAGCAGAGCAGAGACCCCTCTCTGCTCTTTTCATCCAGCACCAACAATACCTTTGGCTCTGTCCCGCTCTCACCCTCCTACCAATCCCTACTCCTCTCCCAAGTCCCTTCTTCTTCTTCCCCTCCCCCTCACTGCCTGAACACAACTGAAATGAGGCCTCCACTATGCCCATCTCCTAAATTGGCCTTATCTTTATAAGCAGTAATGACTGATAATGCTTGGCTCTAACTGCAGCCTTCAGCTGAATTATCACCAGAATAGACAAAAGTTTTAGAAAGGATTTGGCAGCTCAGCTAGCAGCTAATGCAGAGCACAGGCAGATGGAGGCCTCAGACTTGACAAACACAGAAAAAGCAAGCTTTAAAAAGGCACATCACTGGCCCCAGGGAGATCCCTGCAGAACCAGAGCTCCTCATCCAGGAACTAGTGGGCTCTGGTGCTTTCCACACACTGTAGCCACCCTATTCCTTTTTTGATCACGAGTGAAGCAATATACTCTTCTCTGGTTATGTTCTTGGAAACCACCACTGTAATTTTTTTAAGTTTGCAGAAATAATTTAATCCATAACAAACTTCAGAATGGAAAATTTCATCCAAAGTCCTAAAGTTTCAAAAAATCTGACCTACTAAAAGTGTGCTTTCAAAATGGAAAATGCTATTTTTACCTAACCCTCAGCAGCTCCGCCTACATAATATATAGAACTCTTCCCAGCTCAACTTATCAAAGAATTGTAGGATTTGCTGATTTGATTTTTTGGCAAATTTTCAGAAACAAAAGATTTCTGGAGAGAAACATTAAAAATGTCATCTTGCAGACTAATATGAACATGATAAGGTCCCAGTTCATCAAACAAAATAAACTTCAACATTTTCACTTTTTATGGGTTTTACAGTAATGCTTTTTATTTAAAAAAAAAAAAAAAAAAAAAAAAAAAAAGGAAGGGAAGTGGTCATTCAAAATTTAGTTTTCACTAAAATTGTTTTCCAGTGGCAGTGTGCAACTAGCCTTTGCTTCCCCACCAGTGAACAGAAGCCTCTGTTGGCTTCCTCCCCATTCCCAACCACTACAAAACTCCTTAACACTGACCAATTCTGTCCTTTCATCAGACCAAGTAGAAGTGCCACCACCACCACACACATGTACCATCTGCATTCAGGTGAGTTTATGTGGGACTTTTTCAGCACCCCTGCAGCTGCAGCAAACTAGAAAGACCAGCAGTGCTGGCTTTCTACAGAGGGAGCGTCAATACCCCAGACAAAGGGGGCAAAATATTCTTTTCCTCATCACCTGAATTGACTAAGATTTGATCTTAACAAATCTCAACAAAGCAAAACACCTCTAAAAGTGGCATGTTTATTAAAAAGCAAAGGCTACGTAGTTTGTTACTGTAGATCTTCTTGGGTAGATCAGCCTCCCCCTACCCATACAAATTCTTCTTCTATGTAGTTCTGCAATGCAGTCGTGATGACGTGTTCTTGTCACATCATGCTCAGTAGCCGTAAAAATAACCCTGCTACAAACCTGAGCTGATTTCACCAGGAGCTTCAGCATGTGATGTTAGAAACAAAGTATCTGTGCATACAAACACCACTGAAAATTTCAGTAACTAGGCAAGTTGAGATAAAATACCTGTATCTCTTCATGCAATGGCTCTTTGCTGCCTCTGTAGATCAGATGTTTCCAAATTATTCAGGTTTAAGCACTGTCCTTTGGGGAACATGGGTTATGATCTGATCTTTGAAGCTTTAGCTCATTCTAGTTGGGACTAAAAGGAAAGAAACAAAAATCTCAGTTATAATGCTGCATATACATGGAAACCAAGAAGGCAGAAAGGGAAAACATCTAGTCTCAATGCCCTGGAAAGGCAAAAAACTGTATCCACAAAGGGTTAAGCTAAAAGACCAAGCAGCTGAGTTCGCTGAAGAAAAGAAATAAATTCAAATGGGCAGTAAAGCCTATTTCCTCCAAGCTAATAGAGTTACAGAAATTATCATAAGAGCATGTGTCTGGAGATGGAGTGAATGATGCTCTGCAAGATAGTGCAAAGAGGATAAACAAGCTCTGTGCCAAGAGCAGCTGAGCTGAACCCAGCCTGGTGCTCTTTCTCCTGGTGCTATCTCTTAACACAGCACCAACTGGGGTCATCATTTACCCTTCTCTAATGGCAGGGAGCGAACCACCTATTTGGCACAGTCTCGTCCCACAGAGCCTCCATCTTGTCATTTCCAAAAACAAGGGTGGAATCCCACATTTTTCTTTCTCCCTCTCCTCCCTCAGCACAGACTGCCCAGATGTGTGCAACAACCTCTGCATGCATGAACCTCACAGCACCCGGGTGTTCAAGGGGAGCGGACAAAAAGTGACATATAAGTTAAGAAGGAAGCTGGTGGGCACCAGGGAATAAGCCACTATGCAAATCATGATTTTATGACTGAACTTCAAATAAAAGTCCCCCTTGTCCCCCATCTCCTTCTCCCTGAACAATATGGTTTTGTGAGATCAAGCTGGGATCCTATGTTCTTATTCCCCTTCCCAAATATCACGTTTCTAATCCATGAAAGCAGGAATGGTTCAAAGACAGTTATTCTCAAGAGTTTGGTCAAGTTTGATCTCCCAACTCAAACCCCTGGCTCTTGCCAGATCCCAGCTGCTATGTATGTTACTCTGGACTTAGATCCTGTCAACGGTTGTACATGCCTTTAATCACTCCTGGGAATAGCACATCCTTTTTACTCAGCCAAGCACCTAGCACATGTGCTTGCAAGACGAGACACAGGCAGGAAAAAACCCTCAACATTAACAGCATAATTAGAAATTCAGGTCCCATGATCTCAGTTCACTGCTAAATCAGGCATCCCTAATGTCGATATCAATTTCAGCACAATTCAATTATAAGATTTTTATTAATTAAACTTCTCCTAGTAGGTCGGCAAGAGCTTCTGATAGAGAAGGATCCTGTATAGCAGCTGATTGGAAAAATCTTTAGCATTGTCAGATTACCAGGGCCATTTATGCACCAGTTTAAGGACTCTTGCCTGTTATCCTTGCCAGAATACTGCTCTTTGCCTACAATAACATCTGTTTTGCCTGCAATTTATCTGCTGTTTCCAATGCTCTGACAACCTGGGTAGCTAGAAAGGGGGCAGCACAGCAAACCTAATGGGAGCTCACTGCGCAGAACTGTGTTCAGGGTCTGCTGTCTGCTGCTTCTAGGCGTTTCACGCATCGGAGGAGCGGAGCTCTCCGTACTTCCTATGCTCGTACGATCCTGGCAGCTAAGCTCATCTTCAACAGCCTCTGTCGACAGGCAATAATTCACAACACCATGGAGAGCACGCACGCTCTCCTTCTAACTGCTGCTGTTTGCTTTCTCTGTCAAGGTGAGTGATCCTTAATTTGTTTATTCTTTGTTGGTGGAGGGGGGTTGGCAAGACAAACAGGAGATGGCTTTGGTGCAAATCATTTTTAAGAAGTGCTGAAGCTCCAAACTAATAGATAAATGTACAGAATCCTCATACAGCTCTTTTTGCTACATAGTTTGTTGTTTGTTTTTTTAATTTCTCCTTGTAAAGTAGTTAAGTAGTCCTGATTCAAGATGCCAAACAGGACACACAAAGCCATTTTAACATTATGAAGAGAAAGCACCTTAAATGTAAATGTGTGGTTTTACATATTATAGAGAAAACCACAAGGAAGTAACAATATTAAACGGCTTTAAATACGTGCTGCAAAGAGTGCACCTTCTCTCTGCAGATATGGAAAGCACTAAAACACTTAAATTAAAAAAAAAAAAAAATGAATGCACTTCTCCAGATACAGTGGATGCTAGATTTAATTAAAGTGCTGGGTGACATGTAAAAAGGCTAGCAATTTGGTATTGACTATAATACAGAGTTGTTAATATCTAGCTTTAAAATTATTTATCTAAACAATTCAGGAATACTTTAGGAAATCTTAATCTGAGAGATAGGAGATATCAATAAATAATAAGGGCAAGGCTAGCAGTTAAAAAGTGTGAAAGAAATGTGTTCATTTTTTAGTTAGCAAGTTGGCTTGTACGATTTACTAATCTGAAAATAAAATTGCCCTCCAAGGGAACAAGAGAAGGGGAGAGGAGAAGAAAAAAAGGGGGGGGGGAGCTTTTCACTGAATACAGATTCACATGAGGGGGACCCTCTTGTCTTAGGGAGAGGGGAGCTCTTGCAAAGATCAGGAAGTAACACCTGCTTTATGAAACACCGGTCACCTGCAGATACTTCTGCCTCCCATCTATTTCTCTACTGAAAAACAACTCTCTGGCAAAAAATAAACATGTCCTTGTAAATATCTGTAGATTCCTATTTGTGTTTTAAAGGAAACGTAGTATATGTTCAACAGACTTCAGTTCTGTGCCTTTGCCAAATTTGCATAGTGCCATCCATAAATAACAAAGCAGGCCTTTTTTTGCTTTTCAGTTGGAGTGCTTGAGGATGTGTCATCTAGAAGAGAGTCTAAGACAGAGTCCCCTAAAAATAAAAGTCCATTGGCTCTTAAATAGTGTCCAGCTGTCAGGAGGGTTACTGCATTGCTAGCTCCGAGAGAAAAAGGGTAGTGTGAAATACAGGCTCTCACACCTCATGCCGAAACAGTTGAAAGACCTTGTTTAAGAACTTCAGTTTGCAGCTTTTCTGTTGGCCACAGGGTACCATAAACAGAAGTTATCAGTGGCAAAATTGTCAACAGGAATATATTGTAAATAAAAATTAGAATAATGCATGGGTATTGAACACATTTCTCTGAATGTGCTGAAGAGTCTTTGAATACAATGGTTAATCAATTTTTAAACCTTTTTTTCATATTTTAACAAGCAGGCTGTTGTCATCACGATAGTCACACAATCATGAGTCAGGCTAGAAAGCAGAGTTCCCATTTCCTGGGAATCCTCTTGTTGCAAAACACTGACAGCTCACATGCAGCCTGCCCTGTCGGGTTGCACTTTTCCCTTCCTCTGCTCCACATCTCCGCAGCTTCGGCAGCTCTAGTGGACTGGGCCTGTGCGGGGAAAGTGCTTCTGCACCTCCAGTTCTTCAGTTACTCCCTGGAACTATTTTTTAACCCATATGCAGAGATGTATGTGAGAAAAACTCTGTCATCGCATTGTCTTTTATTGCTTTTCTTCTCCCAGCCTAAGCAAATGCCAATCACGCCACACTACTACCCACGCTGGGTGGCCTTTCCCCACGCATCACAGGGACGCTAAGCAGTTAATACACAGCAAGACAGCTACCAAAAGCGGCGTTGCCCCCCCGGCCGAGCCGCCCCCCCCGGGGTGCCGCTGCCGCGGGGGCCGCTCACCCCGCCGTGCCCTCCGCAGGCTGCGGCGGCTCCGAGGCCGAGCACCGGCTCTACGCGGCCCTCTTCCAGAGCTACAACCAGTTCGTCCGTCCCGTCAAGAACGTCTCGGACCCCGTCATCATCCAGTTCGAGGTGTCCATGTCCCAGCTGGTGAAGGTGGTGAGTACCCGCCCCGCCGGGGTACCCGCGGGCGACGGGGGGGGCGCCGGCGCCTCTCCCGACACACCTCTCTTTTCCAGGATGAAGTCAACCAGATAATGGAAACCAACTTGTGGCTGAAGCACGTAAGTCGAGCTCACCGGCCGGCACCAACTCACCACCATCCCCAGCGCGGGAGGTGCTCCCCACTCCGGGCGCGGGGAGCCCGACCCTCACGGCCGGCGCCAGGGGCGGGGAAGACCCGTCCGCCCAGCAAGGCGTCCGCGGGCTCCCGGGAGCCCAAGGCTGGCCAGGGCCCCGCCTGCCTCCCTCGGGGCAACGCCGCTGCCTCGGGGCGCAGGGGGGAAGCATCCCGGGCACAGACCCCCCACCAGCTCCCGGGGGGCAGCCGCGGCGCCGCTCGCTCAGCGCCGCGCTCCGGCGGGAACGCCGCCCTGCCCGGCACGCTGCTGCCCCCCAGCGGCGGCCGCGGGGCGCGGAGGGGCGCGGAGGGGCGCGGAGGGGCGCGGAGGGGCGCGGAGGGGCGCGGAGGGGCGCTTCCCGCCACCCTTCTGCCTCACGGACTGTGGGTGCCGCAGCGTTTAAATACGGGCCTGGCTCGCTGCGCAGCTGTTAAACACAGGTTGTGAGTCGTCAGCTGCAGCCCTAATCCTCCCTCGCTTCTCGCAGTCACTAAATGCTGTGTTTTCGCTCCCAAGACTGGCAAACACGCTGCCCTGGCAGACACCGACGCAGGGGAAGCACCTCAGCACAGAGGTCCCACACAGCATCACTTGATGCCGTTTAGCTCCCAGAAAGTGAGAGCAAACCAAAAATGCTGACTTCATTTAAAAGAGAGTTTACGAGTTAAAAATGCAATTACTTGTGGTCAGCTTAACAACCAACTTAATTCCTGATTTCTGCTTAATATTCAACTTTATTAAACTGGGGTTTTACAAGCCCTAATGAACAAGATAGTTATTAACCGAGCAATGACACCCTGCAGCTCTTTCTAACCCCTCAACCCCATGTCCTTCACTCACTGCTCACACCCAGCACCAGAACCTCCTATGAATTTGTTGCCAGATACCTGGCTTTTTGAGACTTAAGCTGTTACTAAAGTCCCACACTCTCTGGTAAGAGAGTGTCTTATTCTCTTTTACCTCATTTCCACTACCAAGTAGACACTCCTGGGACATGAAGTCACACGTGTCTAGGTCATACCTACACCAAGATGCCCACCTACAATCTCCACACGAATAAACACCAGACATACGAGTTTGTTAAAGAAACATCTAATCATTGTAGTATCCAAAATAAAACCATCTTAGAAGTGGTATGACAGCACTCGGTTTGAGTCTAGTCCATTGAAATTCTATTTCTTCACAAAACTAAAATAGACTAATTTCTTCCATAATTAGATCTGGAATGATTACAAGCTTCGGTGGAATCCAGCAGACTACGGAGGTGCTGAATTCATCCGAGTACCATCTGGTCAGATCTGGAAGCCAGATATTGTTTTATATAACAAGTAAGACTCTTACCTACTTCTTAATTCAGGAGCAAGGGGGGTGATGTTACTAGTTTAAAAAAAAAAATCAGGAGCAGGTTCATTGAATTAACTGAAAAAGCCTGCTTTTCAACAAACCTGTGTCCCACACCTCCCTGTTGGTGTACTCACCTTCGTGCCACCTACATCAGCATCACTGGGCCAGAGGCAGCTCCTAACCCGGAGCTCCAGGTGGGCATGCCAAAGTGAACTTTGCTTTTCCCCTTCACAAGTAGAAGTACTATTATTTTTATTGCTGTCTACAAGGGAGGTGGCAAGAAATTAATCCCCTTAGACTGGAGAGTTCTTGCCTGTGAGTCAGACCCTTAACTGAAAAAACCTGCTAATTCTAGGTTTTTACCTCACAATAATGTTGACATATAAAAGCCACAAATAAAGTTTACTTTGGATGTCAAGTTTCTGAGATTGTGAGGAGCCAAACCATAACTAAATGGATCCCCCTGCTACGTAGGGAAGCAGTTCTCAGTGAAATGGACTGAGCTACACAGCTGCAAAACTTAGGTCTATGGAGCAAGAGTGATGACACCCCTTTTCTAAATGGAGCCTTAAAACTTTAAATTACCTTTTTAGTTTCACTTTTTCATATAAACAAATGAATCCTGTATGATCCGTGTGATCAGGATAGCAATGTGGGACTTAAAAAAAACCCTCACCAAATACTCTCCTTATGCAAAGATGCACCCCAACCCTAATCCCTCTTTCCATAGTTACTACCTGCACTGTCCACAGAAGAGGTGGAAATACCAGTACTGCAGGTATCCTCTTATCAGCCCTTGGGTTCTGATGTGCTTGATCTAGAACAGAATAGAATAGAAGAGTTTAGTTGGAAGGGACCTACAACGATCATCTAGTCTGACTGCCATTTGCAATCTCCTATTTGCTATTTTGAATATTGATTGCACTGAGCCATGTAATTATGAGGGAGAATACTTCCCTTCAAATCTTCCATGGCAAATTTATACAGCTGTTTATTTCAGTTTAACTTTGTAAATTTATAATGGCCGCTGACTTAGTCTTGTGCATGCAATTCAGCTCCATGTCAACAGGTAATTGCTGACTTTCCCAAAACAGATTAAAGAGTTAATGTACATGATCTGAATGTATGAAACTACCTGGAGTAGTTGCATTCTAATTTTTATTTTTATTTGCTTTACAGTGCAGTTGGGGATTTCCAGGTTGATGACAAGACAAAGGCCCTATTAAAATACACGGGTGATGTGACCTGGATACCTCCGGCTATATTTAAAAGCTCATGTAAAATAGATGTAACCTACTTCCCATTCGACTATCAAAACTGCACCATGAAGTTTGGTTCCTGGTCTTACGATAAAGCCAAAATTGACTTAGTTTTAATTGGCTCTACAATGAACCTGAAAGATTACTGGGAGAGCGGAGAATGGGCTATTATTAAAGCTCCTGGGTACAAACACGACATCAAATACAACTGCTGTGAAGAGATATATCCAGACATCACCTATTCTCTTTACATTAGGCGTTTACCTTTATTTTACACTATCAATATGATTATTCCATGTCTGCTGATTTCTTTTCTGACCGTATTAGTTTTCTATTTGCCTTCAGACTGTGGTGAGAAGGTAACACTCTGCATATCAGTCCTTCTATCTTTAACAGTGTTCCTTCTTGTTATCACAGAAACCATACCTTCTACTTCCCTGGTAATTCCACTTATTGGGGAATACCTCCTTTTCACCATGATATTTGTAACTCTATCTATTGTCATTACAGTATTTGTACTTAATGTGCACTACAGAACACCCAAGACACACACAATGCCTGTGTGGGTGAGAACCATTTTCTTGAACTTACTTCCCAGGATAATGTTTATGACAAGGCCTGCTAGTGACGAAGAGAATAATCAGAAGACAAAACCATTTTTCACTTCTGAGCTTTCCAACTTAAATTGTTTCAACAGTTCAGAAGCCAAATGCTGCAAAGATGGCTTTGTATGTCAAGACATGGCATGCAGCTGCTGTCAGTATCAACGAATGAAGCTCTCAGATTTCAGTGGCAATCTCACAAGAAGTTCAAGCTCTGAGTCTGTAGATCCTCTGTTTTCATTTTCAGTTCTGTCACCAGAAATGAGAGATGCTATTGAAAGTGTTAAATACATTGCAGAAAATATGAAAATGCAGAATGAAGCAAAAGAGGTAAGAATATATTTTACTATTACTCAAACTGCAGACACCATTTACCATTAGTATGTTTTGTAAGAGATCTCAAAAAAAAAAAAAAAGACAAAACAAAACAAGCACACACAGAGACCATTATTTTATACATGTAAACTACACCAGCTGTATTGCAAATACGTGCAATTTTGAATGTAGATAATTTTGGGGAGCAAGTCTGTTGTACAAGATTCTCTTTATTGACAACACATACACTGAGTGAAGCATGTTAAGGCAATCACTGCTAGGGAAACACACACGAGTATCCATCTTACAAGATTCGGAGTGAGGATTTTCCAAGTTATAATCTTAATAGTGGAATTTGCTGACTCTATGGCCTTTAGACAGTTACATTCTCCCTCCCACAGCTTACCATCAATACCAAAGAGCGTAAGAATGAATGTTCTTTGCAATGATGACGTTGCTTATTCTGCTGCTGCAAAGTACTGTAGCTAAATGAGGCAACTGCTGCAAGATGGGGACCATCATCTTTCATAAAACTGCATATTGATGCAATAAAAAAAATGTTAAAGTTTTCTTTTTATCATGTTCCTCAAACATACTAAGAACAGTAGCCACACCACAACAATTATCACTGAATTTAAATCCCCTGCCCTATGGCACTTAAAGTTAGAAGGAAGTTACTTTGTTTATGCTGAAATCAGAATTTTATTTAGAATTTGTTGGTATAGAAAATATGGGGCTGGTTTGTTATTTTTTTTTTTGTCTGCCTTAACAAACAAGTTCTAGGCTAAAAACCGCAAAAATTCAAAAACAAAGACATTATTAATTTATTAGCCTTTCTGAAGAGAAATTAAGTAAAAATTTAAATTTTAATCTCAAGAGTAACTAAAATGATCGCCTAATGTAGTGACTATTAGTATATAACACATATAATAATTCAGTGTCACTTTGGTTATAATGCACACTGTGAAAAAAAAATAGAATAATCTGGTTTTTGGAAACTTGGTTCCCTCTCTACATGGAAGGTAAGGAGATTACATCACTCACAAGAACAATCAAATTTCAGTACGACATAAGAAACATACCAAATAATTATATACCAATTAACTTTTGTCTTTTTACGTACTGCCCAAAGACCAGTAGAAGCAGTCTGTTTCAGTGAAGTTTTCTGGACAAACCTGGTCACCTAAGAATGTAAAGCTTTTCACTTTGATTTTTGGCATACAGAGGAGAATTTGTATCTCATGAAACCCAGTGCCTCGGTGAACAACTTGTTATATTTGAAGAAGTAGATTTTGGCTTTGCCACTAATAGCACATTCAAATAAAGCTTCTTCAAGATTAATTCATCTGCCAGTGAAAACAGAGATATGCAAGTTGTGCATACATGAAAGACATCTACGTATGGAAAACAACCTGTGCTTCCTATATAAAACGGTGCTAATTGCTGATACGAGTTACTCATCTAATAAACATGCCTACTTGATATTCAATTTATTTTTCAGATTCAGGATGACTGGAAATACGTTGCCATGGTAATCGATCGTATTTTTCTATGGGTTTTCATCCTGGTATGTATTCTAGGAACAGCAGGATTGTTTTTACAACCTTTGATGGCTGGAGATGAAATGTAGAGATTAAATAGTATGTTGTGAAATCAAGTAAAACTTTTGCCAACAAACTCTGCATCCCTAGCACCTGATGTCTTCTATGTGTAGTAGAATAAGGATCTCTCTTGGCCTCAACTTTGCTTGACCGAGAAGGCTATGTTAAAAATGTGGAAAAGAAAAAAAAAAAAAAAAAAAAAGATACATTTTCAACTATTATGACAGCTAATCTCAAAGTAATAGGAGCTACGCTTGACAGCTACTTTTTGCAATAACTGGAAATGATGTAGGTACTACATTAGACTTTATAGGAACGTCTTAAGAGGGGGTTGATAAAGAAACTGAAAATTACATGAATACTTGGAAAGTCAAGACAGGTTGAATACTTTGGGCTACTAGACTTGTTCCCATGAGTCTGGTGCCAGGTCTCTTCAGACCATGACAGGACCTTCTGGGAATAAACTTATACTGAGTTCAGTGAATGCCCTCATGAGGACAAAATGGTTTAGGAAGCGTACATAGCAAATTGCTATAATGCAGACATTGCCACCTGGTGTGTAAACTGACTCCAGCAGTGTAAGGAAAGGACCATGAGTGGGTTTATTACAAAAGGAAAACAAATAGGTAAATAATAAGTTATGGTGATAAAGCAGTCATCATGTAAACTCTGTGCAACCCCATATTTCCACGTATGAGAAGACTGTCAGAAAAAAAACAAGCTATTCAAAAGTAATAATGTTTAAAACTATGTACAAGTAAAACACACACTAAGATGCAGTCTGCAGGTTATGCAAAGGATCAAAATACTCTGATAGGATAGTCTGGATACAGAGGCATCATGCTATAGCAAAGTGGTTTATGACAAGGGAAGGCAGGTGGATACAAAATAGTCCTGTAAACTATGCTAACATTGCTTCTTAGGCATATGTTTGTTTTGGGGTTTTGTGGTTTTTTTTTGGTTTTTTTTTTTTTTTTTTAATCAGTAGCTGCAGATAATTTAAAAGCATGAATAAAGAATGCAACACAGTACTGTAATGAGAAAACATTTTGTAAAAAAAATACGAATTGTTCTCTCTGTACCAAACTAGAAACTTTTTGCAAATACAGTGTATCAAGTGATGTAACATTTATGAAAATAAAAAGAATCAAGCTGTTGAAAACTGTGCATTTTTTTCCATTTATTTTGACTGAGCGACAAAGGCCTATATAAGGTAGCATTAGCTACAGTTCAACATATTCAGAAACAAGTTACATAAGTAAAGGTCCATCCTTCTGAGTCTATTAAAATCATTTTGTTTCAGACACACCTGATAAGCTGAAGACCCCAAGAATTCTATTGTCTGTTATTTCATCTGTATTTACCATGATCAGAATCTAGAAGTGACTAAAAGAAAGGCATGCATTTGCAAAAATTGTGAGTTACGAGTATAAAGACTGGGACTCCACTGGTCAATATGTTGCCAATGTCCTCATGGTTTCATTGGGCAGCCTACAGATGTCATTTAAAAAGGGGACCAAAATGAGGTGGGGAGTTTAAAAAAGGGTAATTTATATAGCCACTCTATAGTTCTACTTACTTTGCATTCTGTTCAGGTAAGAGTAAACTTCAGTAATTCAAACCCAAGGAGGACTATAAAAAAAACATTCTGCATTTGAAGAGGAAAATAAGATAGCTAAAGTATTTCTGCAACTTCCACACAGAGATAGTCACTGATGCATTGCTTAATCTTAATAATACTAAGAAAGTTAAAATTATTATATTAATGGATTATATCAGATAATCTTTGCGAATTGACCTTTTAAATTAATTATGATGGTAATAGAGGAAATATGGATATACAATGCCAGATGTAACTGCAGAACTGAAGAAGAAGACTTACTCTGTTTACAACCAGAACTATTTATAGATGGATATTAAAAAAAGAAGAAAAAAAAAAAAAAAAAAAAAGCTTGCCTGGCATAATTTCCCTACTCGTGAGCCTTAAAAAGCTACACAAGCCCCAAGAATGTCCTACAGGTGAAACCAATTTGAAATATATATTCAATTATATATAAGTTATGACATAAGCAATCAGTACTATCATCACTACAGTGCCAAACAACTGTAGTCTGAAGGAGATACAGGGAGGGGGGAAGGGAATATGTATCCATTTTCCAAATTCATAACCACTACAAAAACTTACATTATCAAAGATACCACAATTTCATTAAACTTCTCACCTAAACATGTTATTATTAATGTGGTAATTTAAGCAAATAAAAACTTCCCAAGACTTGCTCTAGCTTGACATTACTGTATTAGCCCTGCACGATGCAACTATATTATGAAGTACGCTGACAGAATTTTGGTGTAGGGAAACCCCCACCTATTTTAGAGTGTCTTCCAGAAATAAAGCTTTTAAGAAAGGTGTCATTGGAATGAATGTAAAGAACTTTAAAATCAGTATTTAAAGAATATATTTTAATGGAATAATTAAAAAGTTGCAAGTTAGTTTTCAACACTCACATAAAAAAATTAAGTATGAAAAGCTCTAAGTCGTCGCTGCTTAGAATTACATACGGTTCTATGAGCGAGAACCTATTAAAGGTAGCTTTCTAAGCTTGGTTTAACAAACGTGTGAAAACTTAATCATCTGTGTTTGGTTAAACAGCATAATAATTTTCAACCCATTTTCTTCAGAAAGGCAGTCACCAAATTCCTTCTACTTGTGCTTAAAAACTTAGTTCTGAGAAGCACACAAAGGCAGGAAATTATTAACAAGTTTGCAACCAACATACTGTATCAAATTCTTTATCAAGAATAAAGAAATATGAATGTTCTGGTCCATTAGAATACTTGTGCAACTCAGGAACTCATTTAATTGTCTTTGTCTTCCTTTCCATAGCTGAAACAGAGGTATCGACATACATGTATCCTGTAGACATTTTAAGGCTTACTGTATTAAACATTCATGTTGGTATGACATCATTTACAAGGTTTTAAATTTAGCAGCAACTTCCACTGAAAATTTATAACATAGCCAAATAGCTATTTTTACTTATACGGGAAGTTTAACTGGGTTTTTTTATTATTATTTTAAATTTACTCTGTAGAAACTTTATACTTTTACAACACATTCAAAAGAGCTGATAAAAATTCTTTGCATACTATAGTAAATTGAAGTAAGCAACTCTACTGTGTAAATATATGCAAATATTTAATACTCAATATAACAATTTATATATTAATTTAATAATTGGACTACAGTGATCATAATTAAAAATTTTTAAATCCTTCTATTTCACAATAGGTGTTAGTGTATGCTTTTCTGACATACCACACATGCAAGTGCTAGAGAAGGTCCCTTTAATTCTCACCTGATTTACAAGTAACTTAGTAGACTGGGAACAAGCAAATTGACTTCTATGTGTCCTAGGGATGCCATGCTTTAATATAAACATAATTTTCTGTTTTTTTTTTTTTGTTGTTGTTGTTGTTGTTGTTGTTGTGTTTTGTTTTTTTTTTTTTTAAATCTATCAGAAACATGCTTACAAAGAACGTGCATGGAAATAGGACTACTGCAATACTCTCTAGAGCAATATTAGGAAGAAACAGATCCAAAAATATTTTATGCATTCATACTGCCTATATGCATAGGTACTATTATACTTGCCCACTTATGAATAACAGGAATAAATAACACAAGTGATCCAATTATTGAAACCAGAAGAAAAGTCCATAAGAACATTCGATCAAGAACCTGAGCAATAAATTTCCAGTCTTCAACAACCTAACAAATAAAGAGCATAAGAGTTGGTCAGTATGTGTGAGAACCGGATAAAAATACAGTACCAAACCCTGCAATTCTTATTCACTTCACAATATGCTTTTTTCCAATCAGGTCCATTTGGTAACCCCCTTTAATAACTTTTTATAGTTACACTATGATCTAGAACAGGAATAAACTTCCCTCTATGAATACTGGTAAATTATATAGACCAATACTAGTTTTCAATGCAGAAACTGACCCTGAGAAGCACTGAACATCCTCAACTACAGAGAGATTAGAACGGTATTGCAATTTTCCAACATACTGCAGGATTTAGGATTCATGCCACAGCCTCATCATAAAGTGGAATTCCTGGGCAGGAGCTGGAAGCAAAAATTTCTTAAAGAAAACAAAATCAAAAAAACACAAAAAACCCCCAAACCAAAACAAAATACAAAACCCCAACACCAAACCACCCAAACCAAAAACATATTAAAAAAAATAATATATTTTAACAGTAGACAGCAGCTTTTGTGTTACATACAAAATCTTAAAGCTGTGAAGTTACTACTGCACAGAATTATACACTAGGGAGAATATTCACAGTACTTTCAAGACTATTTTCATTTTTGATAGGATTATCCATATTTACATCCAGTTTTGCAAGTACAGCATATATAATTGTCTAAACAAATTAAAACCCTGCCAAACAATTGTCTTTGATTTGAACTGGAGCTATCCACATTTCCTAAGCCTACTGCTTCTTAAGAGGAAAGGCTACAACAGCACTAGCTGTGTAGTTTTTATTAACAACTTTTTCAATTAAAGCTTGCACTCTCTGGACCCCAAATAATAAAATACAACTGAATCTCCAGTCAGCTGTATATTAATTTCTGAGGTTTAGAGTCACATTACACCTGAAAAACAAAACACCTGCCACCTCTCTTGTCACTCACAATCAAATAGAGTAAGTTCAGTAAGAGAAAGAAAACCAACCCTTAATTTACAAGAAATTACATATTCAATAGCAAACTGTTCGATTTCTATTGTTTATACAATGCAGGGGTATTAGATGCTGTTTGAACAGTACAGTAGATACATTTATTCAAAATCTAGGCTGGATCCCTTGTGGTAATGTCAGAATTGAGTCCTGAGAAGGGACATTAGAAAAGCTAGCTTACTCCTAGGCTACTATTTGAGAACATGCCCTCAGCAACCAGCAACTTTTGAAGGCAGGCATTTCTGTATAAATTTAAACAATCTGAGGCCCTGCCATCAGAAACAGATAGCAGTATAATGAGACCACAAAATAGACTCCTATATTTCTACACTACCCCGAAAATAGCATTTAACTCTCTCATGTACCAATGGTGCTGGTTTAAAAAACACAGAGAGAAAACGGATTCATAATGCTCGTATCTGAATAGTGTAAACATCCATTATGAATAGTTCAGATGTATAGACTGAAAAAAAGCTGTTGACATCTTCTGATAGAACTTAAGAGACAAATAATAATAAGGCTAAAAGAGAACACTCAGTAAGTCATCTAGTCCATATTTGATCTCAGCACAAAATGACCAATGTATGGCCATAGCTTGTATTTAAACTAATATAGGTTACGGCATTAAGAATTGGTTTTATTTGGAATTGAAAGCTGCAAAATGAGACTTCACAGTATTTATTCTGAAAGCGTAAGGCAAATGCATTTTTCAGGTAGCCTTCAGGCACACCATTAAAATGAAAAATACCTACTTCTCTCATCATGAAAACAACATCCATCAGCACTGTAGGGCACAGCTAGGGTACATGTTCTTATAACAGACAAGTATCTCTGAAAATGTGTGATCAACATGAACTTACTTCTAGCAGAAAGCAAAAGACTTTAAAGAACCCAAGGACTATATTCTATCAGCGTAAGAATTCCAGTATTGCACCATACTCCTACTTCTTTCCAGCGGAAATAATTACACAGCTTCCAGTGAAGTACAAAAACTGGAAATCCCACAGCATGTATTTAATATGCAACTGCATAGTAAGCAATTACTTGTTTTTCTAATCTCCAGCTTTACAAAACTCAGTGTAATATGACTAAGATACCCACCTCGCGAACTTCATTCTCCTTCATAACATGTCTTGTAATATATCGGATGGAATCTAGAGCTGCCTGCAAGGTGTTCCTAGACGATTCTGATCCGTTCGTATTTCCTGTTTCCTCCTTCTGAGCACAGTATCTATCTACATGACTTCTCATGCAAAGCAGCTTGGGAAGTTTGTGAAGAAATATCTTGCGAACCCAGGGTGCCATAGCATTGTGTGTAGATGAAGAGCGATGATGAATATTGATAGCAAAGACAGTTATCACAATGGACAATGTCACAAATATCATAGTAAACACCAAGTACTCTCCTATAAGAGGGATAACTTTAGAAGATGATGGAATAATCTCTTCAATAACAAGAAGAAAAACAGTCAAAGATACCAGTACTGAAGTGCAAAGTGAAATTTTTTCACCTTCATTTGAAGGAAGATAGAAGACAAGGACAGTTAGAAACGAAAGCCCAATACAAGGAATAATGAGAAACAATGTGTAAAAAAGTGGCAAACGTCTAATTATAAATGAATATGTAACAAAAGGATACCAGCAGCATCCATCAGTCCTATTTCCTTTGCTCCCTGTTGCAGTCACTATTTCCCATTCTCCATTATCAAAAAAGTCTCTTTTGTCAACATCATAATCTTCAAGAATTATATCAACTTGTGAGCCATCATAAGTCCAAGAACCAAATTTCATGGAGCAATTTTGGAGGTCAAAGGGGAAGAAGGTTACATCAATAGTGCAAGAACTTTTGTAGTTTGCTGGTGGAGTCCAAGCAATGGTGCCATCATATTTTACCACAGTTTTTGTAGATGTTCCCTCAAAACGTCCATCTGCACTGAAAGAGGAGAGATATATGCATGCAATTACAACGGCTCTATGTGGGTGTGGGCATGTGTTTTTAAATAACAAAGTATGTTTTGTTACTGTTATTTCAGCTGTTTATCCCTTCTCACCCTTCATAGCCAAAATTTCGTCCTGTGTTCATAGCCAACTTTTTTATTTTTTTAACTGTGAATCTCACACAAGTAAACATCTTGGGAAGAGTGAAGAATGTTTTCAAGTCATTAAAAGACCTGCGCAATGTTCTGTGGTCCCAATGACTTATGAAAGGATTGTAAAAATCCTGACCTTAAACAGCATGGCCAAACTCTGGTGTTTCTGTTTATAATACAGCATAAATATAAAATATGGACAAATCATAATTATTGAAGAGAAGTCACAAAACAGGTAAAATAGTACTTGTGTGGCACATCCAAACTTCAATTTACAGTCACTGTAATGGCCTTTTTTCCTGACTCAACAAGTCAGGAAATGTTAAAGCATTATATATGCACCTGAGTTGAGCGGAAAGGTTAATTCCAAAGTTATTGCTTCTGAGATCTATTAGTTCTCAAAAAAACTCCTCCAAACAACAACAAAAAACATCTTACAGTTCAGCACACTTAATTTTAAATCCATTCTGAGTATGACTTGCAAGAGCATGAATTAGTTGCTTCCCTCCCATCACTCTACACTATTAGTTTGTACCCAGCACTGTGCAAGATAATGTTTCCTAATTAAAAAAAAAATCTACACAAAGATGTGGAAATTAACTTTTCAAAGAGACTAGAAATTCTATAAAAAAGCAAAGCAAAACATTTAACATGGCCACAAAATCCATTTGCATTCAGTGTTAAATTCTTCCACACATTCTTAGCTCTACTAAGTGTACATCCAATGAGTCTTCTAAAAGCAGCTTGGATGGTGAAGTTAGAAAGTAAATGCATTTTATAATAAAAGATTAAAATCTTACTTGTCATACAACACAATATCTGGAATCCAAATAGAATCTGATGGGACACGAATAGATGTTATTCCAGCATAGTCTTCAGGATTCCACCTTAATTTTACATCTGTCCATTCCTGTGGACATGTGAAATGTAAAAATCATTATTGTGAAGTTGATTTCAGCAGGGTAAGACTGGATTTAAATAGATAAAAAGGAAAGTAAAAAAAAAAAAAAAATCAAACTGGCTTCTAAAACTTGCATACAATAGTGAATTTGCTGGACAGACATCTATCTACCTCATCCAGTATTTGTTTTCTGTCATAAGAGTCACTTGACACTATTTCTGTACAGAACTTGAGATATTAAAATCCTTTTCCACGTATACATAAGTAAGAGCTATTTTAACATATAGACAATTAAATTTTAAAAAAGCTTGTTCTGAGTATCAATGACTTTGGAAGCTCATCAGAAGCAATTTAAACATTTTCATCACAGACACAAAAAACTCATGCTGCAACTCTCACAAGATAGCCGTTCCTATTTCTACCAGCAACACTAAAAATAGCACCCTTAAAATCACAGTAATACTTTAGTAATTTTATGCTTGAACTAAAAGCTCAAGAGGAAAATTGAAGTTTCTAAGAATTCGCCATCACATAGAATTTTAAATGCATATTCAGGTCAGTTCTTATTTTATTTGAACTGGTTCAACTGCAACAAGTTGAACTGCAGAAACTATTAAGAGGACACAAAGTGTTATCAGACATGTTGCCATCTCGTACTTGCCGAGTAGTCTCAAAGTTTGTCTGAAAAGAAAAACTTTGCCTGAAATTAGTTATTGAAGAAGGAGGGATGGGAAGCAGCAGGAAAAAAAAAAAAGACGGAAGTAATCCAAACAAAAATAATTTAGTAAGCTAGTAAGTATAATGAGGGTCTGCAAACATCCTTCTGAGTTAAATCAAGAATGATTTGTGAGAAGCATTTCCCAAGTTAATAGTGGCCATTAAGTTTAGCACTAGAGTCTGATAGTTTTAAAGCTTAAGGCTTCTTCCTGCCCACAAACAAACATTCTTAAAAGGAAAAAGTAGCTCTTTACAGCAAACATATACAACTTTGAAACTGAAATTCTTCAGTGATGTGTACCCAATAAATCTCAAATACCCCACAAGACAAAGATCTTAAAACTATTATATAGAAGAGTACCCAACCCATACTTTTCTTACGATAGTTTTTGAAAGAAAACTTATTTATTGAAACAGTAACTTTTATGATTGGATACATGTACCTCAGTATATTAAATGGCCATGCAATGTCGTATCAGATTTCTTTTAATTAGGTCAATTCTCACAATTTACCGTTTTTGCTTTTAAGAGTTTTATAACAATTAACCCTTCAAAGCATTTCCAGGAACAATTTGTAAAGATACTATGTAAAATAAAGAGTCATGCAACAACTAAGTATTTTTGAATACACGATTAACTAGAAATGTTTCTTCCAACTTTTAAATTGCAGTTTTGAAGCTTCAGAATTTTTCATTGATATTTTACACATACCTGTTTCAACCAGACATTTGTTGTCATCAATTGATTTTTCTCATCCTATAAAAATAAAGCATATTTTATGAAAAAAAAATCTGAACAATACGTTCATAGTAACTAGCTGCTTTTGTTCACAGAGGTCTGTAATTTGAAATACAAAGCACTCTTCTAAAAGCATTTCAGTCACTGATAAGTATGTTTATATGAGAAATTTTTAAACATACAATTATGACTTTTGATTATTTAACTGCCAAAAGTGGTGTTTTTCCCCTTCTGTGTCTTTCTCCTCTCTTTCATATTTTAATTTGACTGTGTTTTATGCAGTCTTACTATTTTTCTATGGAAACATAAAGGAACAGCCAACATGTCGGAGGAAAATTCCTCTTATAGCTATAAACAGTGAATTCAATTTGTAAAGAATATTCTGAAGTATCAGGAGAAAAAAAAAATCTGGTTGATCTCTTTTACATCACAGTTAATGCCAAGAGATAATCTTCATTACTATGGAAGTGACATATTTGAAGGCTTAGAGGGATTTTTGCTGCTTGAGGGGAGAGAGCAGTATTTGCTTGTGTTCCTGAATTTTACAGAAATTAGATTGATAAAAAATTTTAAAAATAGTTGGCTTTCCCACTGAATAAATAAATTAAAACACAAATCCCTAGGCTTAAGAATTTCACTCACTACTATTTTTTTTCTGAAAATGCAACTAAACAGAAGAGCTGTTTGTCATCTCAACCTCTTTGCAATCACTTCTTCATATCCCCATCTACATTGCATTCTTTATTACGTTGATAATCATTTTGGAAGTCTAATCTATTATGTTTAAGTGAAAATATCCATAACTATTTCATATGACATTATGTTCCAGTATTTTAAGAATTAGGGAAAAAAAAAATCCAAATTTATTTGCTATACATACCACATCTACTAGCTGAGAGATTGCAAGGCCAAACTTTATTTTTATTGTGTCATTCAAGCGTTCCACTGGACGAACCCATCTTTGATAGTCTTCAAATAAATGTTTAAACAAACGATCTTCACTTTTAGCAATAAAAGAAGGTTCAGATACACCTATATAAAAAAAGTAATTTATTAACATTGATTTAAAAGAACAGTGTACATCTGCACTCCTGTGCCCAAAGAGCTACGGCTATGTTTAGGTAGAGCTAAACTTCTTATCTTACCCCTTTTCTCTGGGAGCATGGCCAAGGTCTCAGAAGAAGAATTACCTGGTTTTATTAGTATCTTCATACCATTATCACACTTCTAAAATCTACAGCTCAAGAACATTAAGATAATTTCAGTAATAATAAATAAATAATAATAAATAATAAGTGCAAAATGCATTTTTATCATTTACCTGGTGCTATGTGATTATGGAACTCCTTTAAAACTGAAATCTTAACTATGAGATACTGAAGTTCTATCATTCTAGAACAAGGTGGTACTGTTTAAAAACCTACATCCACACTATACAGGTCTCTAGTATAACTGCGTAACTTGCGTTGCAGTTTGAAACATGAGTCTCTTCATGTTTTATACATTATTTCTTCTAATGTTTGATTACATCTAGGATGTATAAACTTTGCAGTACTTGTAGAACACTTTTTTCCCCCCAATGTTTTATATCTTAAGCACATCAGCCTTTTTAGCAGTCTATCCTCTACCTATTCTAATATTACATTGACTGAAATGCACCTTTCTGGTTAAGTAATAGCATACATTCAGTTACTGCTTTTTCATAGTTCTCTAGGAGTCAGTTCAATGCCTGGAAACTGATTGATGACCTGGAACAGCCAAAAACATCTGTATAATTTACAAAGAAGTGGAAACTAAAGGTCTTTTGTCTCCCGAGATAATGGAATACATGGCAGCTTTGGGGAGAAAAAAGTACTGCAGATGCAGAAACTGCAGGCAGAGAGCAGCCCAGACCGTAAAAGAGATATGTATGTTGTCCTAAAGCACCTCATCAAGCAGCTGCTGTCCTTTATCTTTGGGAGTCCACAAAAAATTAGTTTTTTACCAACACAGTCTCACTGAAGTATGTCAGCAGAAACCCTGCTACCCCAAAAAAAGGCAAAGTTTAAGGTTCCTCCATTATGAGAACCCATGAGAAAATTGTATATCCTAAATAACAAGAGTAAGAGAAACTTGGGGAAGATATGGAGAGAGGGGAGGAAAAAAAGGCACAATCAGTGTCTAGCTAAGTATCTCGAGTAAGAATGAGCTTCCAAAGGCAGTGTGAAAGACCTGAACAAGGCCACTGCCTCATGGAGCATCACAAGCTACACACATCACCTCGAAGGGAATGGCTCCAGAAGGGTCTCCAATTGCCAGACAGAAGTCAGAGCAATCACCAGAAGGCATAAACATATGCTCTAGTCAAAGATTTTTACTACTCACCCATGAGATTTAAACTGACTGAAACTACTGCCAAAAAAACCCCCACCACCTAACAATTACAGTCAGTTTAAGGGACAGAGTAAACCAAAGAAAGATGTTCATAACTATCTTTTTTTAATGTAGGTTTAAAATATTATGGCATTACATAAATGTATGACATGACCTCTCTAGAAATTATGTGCTCACTAACAGCACCCATCTAAAAAAAGATATATCAGAAACAGAAAAGCACCAGAGAATGGCACAAACAAATTAAAACCAGTCATCCATACAAGGAGAGATTTAAAAGATTAACATTATTTTGTTTGGGGAGGAGGTGAATTTAATGAACATAACAGAAGTAGATAAAGTACTGAACGATACATACAGAAAAAACACTGATGGCATTTAGTCTTTCTCATAAAAGGTGGAAAAGGAAACAAGCATCAATTAAACACGGTATAAACAATTTCTATTTGAAGCTAATTACCACCAACATTCGATACTGAAGAGGACTAAAATTTTAGAATTGCCTGGGATGACTAAACTGTCAGTTATGTCAGATAGCACCACACCTTCCATTTCAACATGACTTGCAAAACCTACCTCAGAATTTGATCAACAGTTTGATGGCTTGCATTGGTTGCAGACACTTGGCTAACACCATGTAAGCCACTGATTTAGATGGACCTAAACTAGTTCTATTTGACTGCAACCACTGTAGCCTAGACAACTAAAACAGTCAATGTAAGTTTTTAAGCTTCCTCCCATTCATCAAAGAGCTCTTGTGACAGCAGTGGCTTTCTGTTGTGCGGCAATAGGCTGCATTTACAGATTCTTTGGGCAAAACACCCGAAGCACTGCAGAGCACAACCACAAGAGAATTACCTGCCTTCTGCACTGCAGGTTTAGGGCAGTCCAGTAGAACTATCATTATGAATGCTAACTGGATTTTCTCTGAAATTTTATAGTAGGAATAAAAGCAGAATATATCTTCAAGAACAGTATCAGCAAAGTGGGAGCAGCAGGACTCCTTTTCCCTCCAAATCTTACCATACACTAACATGCTGCTCAATCGTTCTTGTTGCAAACCAGCATTGGCATTTTAAGACTGTTCACCCTTCTGTTTCAAAATACAAATCTATCCGTTTACAGTGTATTTCATTCATTTGCAAACCTACTGTTCTTTAAGATGTACTATTTGTACATGCTCTACAATTTAACATCTTTCCATTTCAAGGCTGTTGACATGTGGGTTGTGTAATATTGAAGAACTGATGGGCAACTTGCATTGTACTACTGAGCATACCTCAGGCAGATACATGAAAACCGACAGGACATAACAATTGCTGCCAAAAAGGATCCAGCAACAGAATGTTACACACACAAGTTACTTTCACAGCTATTAGATTAAAATATATTTATTCTTACTGATACCTTAGGTTCACTGTATGCCCATTAGCCAAGGAATTTTTCTTCTTTGTAACTATATGTAGATTTGCCAAGTCTTGCTTTTTACAGACATCCAAAAGAATGCTTCCTGAAGACACAACTTAATTTCTGTATTTTTATATCCCTGTTTCCTGAATTATGAATGGGTTTGGGTATATTTCAGCCTAATGTTTCAAAAATACTTGATTTTTGTATTAGCATTAATTACATTTCCCTTTTACAGTTACAACTCTCAACTGATGTTTTTTGTACAATTTGAGAATGACTATGCAGCTGGGTATTCTCTCTCCATTAATTGACCTTGAAGCAATGCAGAGGCAAAGTTGCACTTCCACCATTTCTGTGTTCCTGTAAGATGACCTCCTGTACAGCAATACAGCATCTTCAGGGTACAGGCTGTTTCCAAATAAGCTTCTCTTAAACACAGCATCTTCTCTGCTATGCTAAATGGGCTATGTTCCTTTACCACTTTTATATACTTACAGAATTCTTTTTCAAACATTCTACACTCAGTACACTCACTGATTTATTAAGATGACTATATTTGCTAACAACATAGTTCAACTAATTTTTTTCCCTTTTTTTTCTATCATAGGAACATCTACACTTTTTTATATTTCTAGTTTATCTGCTTATTAATAAGCTGAGACATAATGGTCTATAAAAGGCAGTTTATACAAAGGAGAGCTCAATGAGGAGGCTGGAAATGGTGAAAATAAATTGAATTTTTGCTGACTCTTAATGTAATAGGACCGCTCAACTCACTTGTTACACAGACTGCATGTGTTTAATTTCTCTTTTCTGTGTATCTGTATGCTTTTAAGATTATTATAAAGGGTGTAAAATTCTTAGTTACTTATTGGTAGTAGCACCAATTAAAAAAACGTGAAGAACTGGTGGCAAGCAGGAAAAAGAAAGAGAAGAGATAAAATACAGTTAGTGGCTTAAGGCAGCAGACTGTCTATGCTGGTTGGAGAAAAGCAGAAATAGGTTAAAACCTATGACTTGCAAGATTAGCAGACAAACAACCCAGCATACAAATCTCATACAAATCAGATGGTAAAAGATTACGGAAGCACTCACCCTTGCTACTAGCTCACTGTACTAAAAACAAACAAACAAACAAACAAACAAACAAAAAACAAACCCTCAGATTTGTAGCCTTTGAACAGCAATTCTAAGCTTGTCTGTATTTGCATGGCTTTATTTTGAGGTCAGGTAACTTCTGCAGTCTGCTCTATATTGCTCAGTGATAAATCCTGATGACAATGTTTCCTTTATAATTTGTACCTGAAACTCTTCTCTGCTCACTCCCTCTCAGTGTGATTCCATGGTCAGCAAAAAAAACCCTAAATCACATGAGAAAATGCTGGACGGCGAAAATTTGAATTCTGCAAAAGGGAGACAAACATTTATGCACAAAGCAGACTAATGATTCCATTTTTAAAAAACTTTGAAGTAGTTGGAGCGTACTTTTGACAAAACAGTAAGTAGAAATTCTAACTAAAGACTTGACCTTGGGCAAAATTGTAGTTAAAAATTCCTCCCTAAACTATTTCCTCCCTAAACATTTAACAAGCTTCTTTTCCTAAAGTACTTTGGAAGCGCTATTTAGAAAAGAAGACAACACCTTACATGAGTGTCAGATGCACGAATAGCATGACAAAACATGTACATGTCTATTCATTTTGTTAAAATTCTCAAGTCAAAATTTCACTAGTGCTGCTAATGGCAGAATTCTTAAATGCTCCAGATAAAATACAAAAGAGTTATTCTTTTGTAAAATCCGTCTTTTGACATCGTTTCTTACTGTACCATTATGGGATTAAATTTCTTAGCATCTTAATATGATTTAGCAGCAGTATTCTTTTTCCAGTGAAATATGTGGTATTAGAATTATGCCTCATACCTTTTCACAAATTCAGTATTCTTTTTCCAGTGAAATATGTGGTATTAGAATTATACCTCATACCTTTTCACAAATTTTTGTTTGCTTGTTTTCAAACAGAGAACATTGCAGTCCATGTTTCTTCAAATAATAAACTTTCTTTGAACTCTATATTCCTCTGTGCTTCCTTAGGTGTCTAAGAATGACATTGGGACTCCAGGTGTAACACTGGTCCTTATATTTTAAATAATGTTGTACAAAATATTTTCTAAGTGATATAATCGAGTGTTAACGATTTCAGGTTTTCTTTAGATAGTCACTTGGTGCATTTTCAGAAGAGGTCCATGGGAGATGGAAAAGAGTCACTTTTTAGAAGCCTAATGTTAAGATCTAGATTCAGTAGTAATATGTATTACTAATAAAGATTTGTAATCATATACCACTACAATGAAAAAGAACACTACTAAGGACAATAAACATGAGAAAATATCCATACTTTGTAGCTAACATTAGACTCTTTAAGACTGTGCTATCATAACACACAAACTGTTATCCGCAAGTCTATTACACACTACAACTAAATAGTTTGCCTACAAACCAGGAAGGTGAATTCATATATACGGTACACCTGCCTTCAGTACACTAGTATATTTATTAAGACAATACTGTGCTTTTGCTTTTTTTTAAAAAGTAATCCATTTTACATAATTTATAACAAAGGAAGCACTTTGAAGTCTAGAAGCACGATAACTGTTTAAATCTTACTCTAAAAATTGTTCAGAGGACATTTTGAGAGGAAAAAGATAAAAGTTTTCCATCCTTCCTACAAACTAACTTATTCTACAGTGAGCATCAGTGCTTCTTCTCCTTTAAGTTTACAGGTTTTCCCCAAACAATCTAGTCACATGACAATATTTTGGTATGACAAAACTTCAAGTCATATTTATATAGCAGCAGACAGGATAAAGTAGAATAAGATCACGTTCAATACTAACTACACAGATCTCTCTCTGGCTAAGCCTCCCCTTACATTTTAAGGAATCTCCCACCACTACTTCATTAAGCAGAAAAAGTTATGTAATATATTAAGTATAAAATGGAAGTTTTCTTTCTGTACTGATTTCCCCTTCCCCTTAAAAGGGTTGTGAGTCATACTTTCTGTACAGCCTTCAATTTTTTTGCGTACTTTCCCTTTTATGCTTTAGCAGATGCCAAGAATCCAATCACTAATGGTCAAGCACTTAATTAACAGGAAGAATTTAGAAAGATCAAAACAGTCTTTACTAAAATGTCTGTAAGTCAAAGCAGGATTACTAACTCTGTTCAATTTACTGAACAAAAGTCAGAAGAGACAGCTATTACATTCTGTACTTCCTACAAGTATCTTTTTCCGAACAGTTTAAAAAAATAAAGCCAAAGGCCATCACTACACCTACAAGCATGGAAAAGGTGGCTGTTCTTGACAATTTCTTGTTAGTGGTTATTTTTGCAAATTTGTTTTGCTTTCTTTTGTTCAGCGGTTGTCTTGCAATTTCAAAGGTTGGGAGTACGAAAGTGACAGTCTTTAATTTCTATCACTGTGTATTAATACATGCTAGGCAGCTGCTAGCTGCTGCGGGAACTTCTATGATTTTTCATTTACTCCAGGACTTCCAAGTTATTGGGAGGATTTCTGCCTTCTCTCTTACCCAGCACATCAATCTCCTGCCAACCAGTAGCAAATTAAAATGACATATTGCGGACATGAAACTACCAAGGATTTTGAACTGCAATATTGCTTAGCACTTACCAATATGAACAGAGGTACAAGAGGTGCACATAGAAAGCAGGGAAGACGTTTCTTACATTCAACTCAAATTTAAAAGGTAAAAGATTCCAACTTGATCACTGGAAAGAAGAATTAAACTATCCCCTAATAGCTTAGCATCAAAGGATAATTAGAGCCCACATTAATGAATGAATGTACAAGTTTGATTAGAAATAGCACAATATAATGCCATATAGTTTGTAATTAATCAAGAAATAGATACTATCAACTACAGACTGACAGTCAGTCTTCAGATTAAGAGTTAATTGGAGCACAAACCATTCCTTTCTGAATACCTGTGCTATGGATTCTATTGTAAATACCACACAGTAGGTCAAACAGCTTCCTGAGCTCTACAGTGAAGCTATCGCCAGCAGTAGTCTCCTGGTTAGCAGCCACCTACAGTGTTAATGTTATGGGTCTGTGGCATGGCACAGCATTTCCTCGTGAGTTCATTGATGCCAATATTCTCCACTCAGCTTTCAGCAGACAGACGAACAGCAATCCTTCGCACTGTGCAACAGCTAGGGCACACGAAAAGGCTGCTTCATGTCAGGCTGCCTCAGGGTAAAAATTCTGGTCACTGTGAAGCCAGGGGGACTTCTTCTGTAACAGATCCAAGATTCTGTCATCTCTCTTTATACCACTTTTAACTATTGCATCACTTTCACTGACTGTTGACATGTCCGTAAGGGCTGAAGATGGACTGTGAAAACAGCACCAAAGAACGCTGAACGTGAGCAGAAACAAGTGTGTAGATGCAAGTGCAGACAGTGTAAGGAGTAAAGGGAAGAACAAGTATGTGGAATCTTAAAAGCAGAACCATTTATTCATACAGCTTTAGCAGGTATGCATCATGGAAGTAAAAAAAAAAAATCCCCGATTTATGTGAATAAGATTTTTATGTAAATAGAACACAGGCCTTGGGCTTCTCGCAAGTTGCCAGTGCAGCCCTAGGTGCTGCAGGGGTTGCACGCTGGTGTTGCCTTCTGCCACAGTAGGACTTTGTTTATGCAGCTGGATTCCAGTCTTGGATACACTGGAACATAAAATCCTTAGGCTCATAGAAATAAGATACTCTGTTTAAAAATCAGATACTCAAAACCAGATGCAGAGTAGAAGATTCCAGAACATGAAGTATCATATAAAAATCAGGTTTTAGCATTCTGAAAAGTGGGAAACTATGCAAGTACTTCCTTCCACAGTTCCTTCTACAAATCAACACAGACATTTTTCCACAAATCAATGCTCACGTTTTAATTCCTAAGAATCTCTAAAGAAAGCACAAAATGTTTTAAGAGAAAAATCACAAGAAACCTATACAATCAGGAAGGTTTACAGCTTCCTGTTGGGCAGGGAGAAGGACACAATCTGTTAAACAGAGTGGAAAAAGTTTGCGTGTGTGAACTCCCAAAGAAACACCATCACAGGTTTGCAGAATGGTGGTTGTTAATTTCGATTCAGTTTGTTCATTTAAGTCTCACCTGTTAGTTTAAGATTCAGAGCAAGGAATAAAAATTCAAATTTTATTATATTTTAAATCAGCATGTATTTTGCCTTGTCAAATCTCAGTTATCCAGGATAAAGTGTTAGTTCACCTCGGGACTACTAACTAAAGGAAACACCAGATTCATTTACAAGCATTCTTAAAGTATCATAAAATCAAAGTCACATCCATAAATCAATTCCACTCATTAAAATGATTACTGTACCATATGCAAAGCAATACCTCTAAAGTAATTTTAACTGTATGCACATGATAATCTGATTTCAGTTATTATGTCCATTTGCCCTATATTTTAATAATCAGGAGCTATAAAGTTTTTCATCTTCGTAATAGCAAATTTCATTTTATTTTAGAGTAAACAAATTGTGAAAGGAAAATTTTATCCTCACTACGTAAGATCAGTTCTCAATGAAGTCAAAACTATTGGCGTGTGACAAAAGGCAAATTTTGGCTTAACCTGACTGCAGGTAATTCCATACAGTCATATATACCATACAATGTAACATAACAATTTCACATAGTAACATCTTCTGTCATGATGAAAAACTCTACTTTTCAAATACTGAGACCAAGGATAATCTTTTAAATCACATTTAGCAATAACAGACTGAGTTTTTGTATGTTGAATTAAAACCAAGACAACAATATAATTTACCTTCCTTAAGGAGGTTACGACCATTTTTTCAATTTTGAGCTAATATTAAAAAAGGCCAAATTTATTTTTCATTCATTTACTTTCTGCTTGTAAATGCTGCAGTTATGACTTCAAGACACTTTGCAAAACTCACAGCAATGTACCCATAATTATATAAAAGCAATGTTTTCTAATAACTACTTCTAAATAACTTTTTGAAAAAGCATTGATTTTGCTCCTTTAATCTTTGTGTAATTTTATAAACACTTTAGCTTCACATACTATTTTACATCCTTCAACCCTGGAAGTTACATCCTGATTGAATTAGAAGACTGACTCTTCTGAAGTCAAAGAAATAACACGTGACTAAGCTAAAAAGAATATTGTTACAAATTCTGAAGAAGAACATTTTTATGTGCTGCCAGATCCATATGCAACACTGCAATTATTGAAGTATATTCTGTAAATTAACCTTCATACCAGTTGCAAACGCAAAGAGCCTGCACCACAAACCTGAGTACGTGAATAGAGCAAAAAAGGAAAGCTGTAACACTTCGAGTCTTTAAAGTGTTATATATTAATTTAAAAAGCGTAACAACTGCGTGAAGTGTGTAGTAGGCAGGACGAATATGCACCTGAAAAGCCGCAAACTGGCAAAGGCATTTTTCCCCTCCTCTGTGAAAGGGGCAGCTCTGGTGATCCCCTCTGACGGCGCCCTCTGTAAATCACGTTTATGTTTTTAAAAACTAGCAGAAGTCCCGCAATCCCTACCTCAGCACTCCTCAGCGATCGCCAGAACCCCGCTCCGCCTTGAAATCAGCCTTGACAAAAGTTGACGGCGTGGAAAACGACGCCTGATGCGCGGCCGCCTCAACCCCAGCAGCATTTCCCCGCACCCACCAAAATCCGCCTTATTTTTCCACACGAAACGCGCCCAGCTCCCGCCCGCGCCCCCAGCTGCCCGCCCGAGCGGGGCCGCAGGCGGAGGGTCGGCACAGCCCGGGGGGGCTCCGGCACAACCCCCGGCGGCGAGCTAGCCCCCCACAATGGCGAGTTTAGAGGAAAACCAGTGGTCGAGAGGGCTCCTAAGTCCGAGCTGACCGTGCCCGCCCCTCCGGCACCCTCCCCGCTTCTCGCTAAGGCGCCTGCCTGCCACCCGCTTCCTCCGCAGCGGCCCCGGCCGGGCGCCCCGCTGGCCCCTCACCCAGGCGGGGCCGCCCAGAGGCGCCTTACCCGCGTAAGGGGCGCGGGCAGCAGGGCCGGCTCCGCGCTGGCCGAACACAGGCGCGAAGAAGCAGGTGAGGAGGAGCAGGGGGCGGCCGCCGCACAGCCAGGCTCCGAGCGCGGCCATGGCCGGGGCACGGCCACCTCAGCGCCTCAGAGCCCCGCGGCGCGGACGGGGCGCCGCTGCTGCCGGGCGGTGCTGGCCACGCCCCGCCGTGAGGGGGCGCGAGGGGCGGGAGGAGGGCGCCCGCGCCGGGAGCCGTTAGAGCGGTTGGCGCGTTACCGACGTGGGGGGGGGGCGGCAGCGGCGCTGAGCCTCAGCAGCCGCCTCGACCAGGCGTCGTCCCGGGCCGTTTTTCCGGGCGGCCAAGCCCCGAGGGACCGACTCGCGGCCCGGAGGCGTGTGCGGCCGGCCGGCCGATCCTGCCGCTAACCTCGCGTCTCGGCGGCCCCGCTGCGGGCGGGCAACGGCCGGCGCCGCCCCCGCGGGCTGTGAGGGGAAGTTCGCTGTGAGGGAGGCAGGTGCGGCGGGCGGCTCGTGGGGAAAGCTGGAGCGGTGTCCCTGAGGCCGGACCCAGAGGCGCCGCTCCGGCACCGTCCCGCCGCTTCCCCGGTTACCGCCACGGCTGGGCCGTAGGTAGGTGCTGAGCTGGGCCGGGGCTGCCGCCACCTCAACCTTAAACGGCAGTGGGAAACCCTCCCGGGCTATCGGTCGTTTCTTTTAAACCGTGGTTCTGGGAGGCTGGAAGTTGAAGTGATTTTTAGCGAAAAGGAAAATACTAAACAATCTGATGTTTTAACTTCCATTCCATATGAAACACTCACTAGGTTTGGGTTTTCTTAAAGTTTCTAAATCAGAATGTTTTGGAACTTTAAATCAAAAACAGATAAACTTATGCAAGCTAAAAAGTCGAGGGATATTTCCATCTTTATGTATATTATATAACATATGTTGAGAATAGTACAAAAAAAAACCACTTTTTTTTCTGCATCAGATAAATAAAAAGGTGTTAAGAAAGACAACTTTAAATCCACCAACTGAGAAATATGTGATTTTTCCTAGATCATCCTAATAGAAACGTGCAGTGTACACATGGCCACGAAAAATAGAAGCAGCTGGCATTAATGCATTTTTTTTATATTTAAGAAACTGTTTAAGACTTTTAGAGAAAAGATTAGGAAAGAAGGGCTAAATGGCTTTACGCAGTGTTAATCAGCTGTTACATAAAAAGTGCTAGATATCAGATTCCTCAAAAAAAAAAATCAACCTTATTCAACTCAAATAATTTTTGCAACTTTGTACCTTCCTAAAATGAGCATTACCCAAAGTAGTATTTCATTAAGCACGCTGTCAATTATCAAAATTCTTTTATATCAAGTGTTCATTTCATGGAAAAATAGTGCATCTCATGTAAATCATTAATCTTTTCAATGACCAAAACAGAGTACTCTAAGAATTTCAATCCAATTCTTATTTTTTAAACTCATGTTTTTCTGTATTATCATGCAGCCATATTTAGGTTGTGCATGTCTGTGTAAGACACGATGCAGTCCGTACCAGCCATCCGAGAAAAGGCTGCTTACACAGTAGTTTCCTTCAGCACACTTCGGGTGACATGTTTTATTGATTTGAATGCTCTGCAGTAAATACGGTGATCTGCTATACTGAGAATCCATTTGTATACTGCATGTCCTCCACAATCGAAATATGTATGTGTTAAAGGATGCAGCATGTGACTCTTATTTTGAAATGCTCGGTGCATATGCAGTGGTCAACCCAAGACTGTAGAGTAAACAAAAATATATTTTAGCCCAAAGAACAGCACAAAATAACCTATTTTATTCTTTTATGATAGAATGGACTTCCGATGTTTGCAGAGTGCTCCAAAAATTACTGGCAAATGTTTCTACTGAAATTGCAAATACGTAGTTTTTGATGACAACTGATCCACCACTGCACCGCAGCTGGTGTTCCTAACGTAAGGTTATCGCATAAACATCTGTATTTCTGTTAGCATCATATGTGCTTTGCAGTAAACACATTTTACAGCCATAATGTCTAGTTAAGTGTTAAACATAGTTGCCACTTGAATGTACAGGACATAGCAAACTGGTTTTATTACATAACTATGAATTTGTTTGCAGCTGGGTCCTAGCTAGGCAAAACATGCTCTAAAATATAAAAGGATGAAACTGTCTAGTTTACATGCCCAACATTTCACTAAATATTTTATGTTGCATCATTTGGCACACATTAATTATGCTGTGTTATTACTGATTTAGAAAACAGTAGTTATAAATAAGAAGCCAGTTCTTTCCTGCTGTTTTGAACTTGGAGCAAAATGTTAGTATTAACAGCAGCATGTTAAGTTCAATATTTATCATTAAGTGAAAGCCTAAACAATTACATGAGTAAAGTCTGCTGTCCTTCAAAGGGTCCTTCTCAGCAGGAGTTGACATCTGACGGTCCCCACTAAAGTATGTTCAGAGAATCTCCAGTAAATTGGCTGATGGCAGCTTTTACTGTGCACTGAAGAGTACTTTAACTGGAAAGGCAAATGCCAAATTAATCACAGATAAAAATAGCAAGCTGCTCAGTTCTCTTTGTAAAATCAGAAATACTCTAAAAGTGAAGCTGAATTTTCTCCAGATTAAAGCCAAGAGCTATATAACCAGAAGGGTACTCTCAAGTCAAAGTTATTTTAGGAGGTTTTTGTATTATAACAGAAATAACTGCAATTAAAACTTGAAAACGAGGATGACTTTTGCTACAGAAAACCTGTAATGGAAAATATTCTTTAAAGAAAGTGAAAGACATTTAAGTAAGTCGTAGAATTTCATCTCGTCTGAAGCTACATCATTTTGCTCATGTACAAAGTACATGAGTGCATTAACTTCTTGGACTTAAGATGTCTTGTATACACCACATACAGTTCTGTGGCCTCTAAAACCATTCATTCCAACACCTTGTAAACATTAATATATTTGTTCTCACAACATACTGGAGAAGTATTGTCTCTGATTCTAAGATTATGAACAGAAAGAATAATTACCTGGGGAATCCATAAAAAAAAACAGAAGCAGCAGTCACATTTAACAGAAAAAGTCTTTTGTTTATCATCTTATATTGCGTGCTTTTATAACTCTGGCAAGCAAAAATATTTGGATGAACAGGGAAGCATCTCTAAAGGAAACTTACAGTGCACAATACAGTAAGTCATATAAGAAGCAGTCTTAGAAGTTAATTTGACTTTATTTGAATGGAATACAGTTATCTAGAAAACAAGCTAACTTTTTTTTTTCAACACTGACGGATGCAAGAGACAGCACAGGTATTACTAGAAAAGCAGTAGTTTCGTTACCTCTTAAAGTACTTAGAATAACAAAACACATTACAATTTATTAGGACAATCTATATGTGAATATTTGCCCTAACAAGTTCTATCATGCACTCGAGATATAAACTATCCAGTCTTAAAGTTCACTAACACCATATTATGCAAACAGTTTCAAGTAAATACGTTTACCTAATTTGAAAAATCTGTCACCTTCCAAAGCACCACATGAAGTTCTGGTGTTAAAATAGCATTCAAGCCACTGCAATAGCTAAATATTTTAAATACTTATGTAATACACTGTAAACTCTACGTAAACACTACGTACACCAAAAAAAATATACAAAGAACAGGAAGATCATTTTGATTAGCAAAGATAACTCAAATGTATCGCCAAAATCATTTTTTCTCTTCTTACGACTTATCCCCAAACCACTCCCAGAAAAGGCACTGATAGTGGTGATTTTTTTTTTTTTTTTTTTTTTTTTTTGTAACACACAAAGCCAGAATCAACACAATAGGCCTGTGCAGTCAAATGCTGCTCTATTTCTAGGAAAAACAGGTAAGGAACTTGCATTAGTGTAAGGATATCCCAGGAAGATACTATAAAAGATCCCCAGCATCTGCCTACTGTCCTAGGTTCAAATGCAGAAAAGAAGCAGAAATTAAATTTAGTTTAGCAAAACTTTACTATGCATGTTGGATGAGAGCCAGCTAGACTTACTTGCCTATTCCAAGGCAATACTGAGGCTCATCTCACAGCTATTAATGGCGCTCAGTAGAGATGGCATTTTTAAAATTAAATTGGTAATTATTGTTCAAAAATTATAAATTATTTGACAATACTTTTACTTCATGTAAACAAAACCTTTAAATAAATAGATTTTTTTAAATGTAGTGTAACTACACAACTTATCACAATGCTTCAATACATAATGGAGTACAGATCAGAAAATGATTTAAATCATATTCTGACTTGATTATTGCAGTATCAAAAAAGTCCCCTTTTACCAGCAAATGATGCAGTGTTTGGCAAAGAAGTGCTATTGGTAATTCTTTAAACAAAGATTCAAATGTATTTGTTATCCCCTCTTTGTTAGAAACAGAAGCATTTAAGAAAAAATATTTTAATAAATCTATATCCTAAGCTATCTAATAATACTTCCACTAGTACACTAAACAAATTGTCTTGTGTGGTTTATATACATTGATAAGCACAGACTCAGATGCTCTAATGTTCTATAAGACAGAAAGCATTGCTGGAGTCTATCACGTTTTGTTTCAAGTGATCTTTGGGAAGTTAGAAAAAACTCCATTTTGGCATTGCTGCTTTTAGGGCATATTCCAAGTACTTGTACAACCATCATCAGTGATCTAGAAATCTGCAAAAGATGCTGATATATTGCATTCGTGGTATCAAAAAATAAGTAGATTGAGCACTGAATTTCCTACATAAAAATGGAGCTTGAGGTATTTATACAACCCTTTATAATGGAGATTAAATCTTACCTGTTGCACGGTGTCTGCAACTATTCAGGACTTGTTACATGAAATATCATTCCTGTTATTATTTGGAAGATCTATTGTCGCACAAGGTGCAAATAAAATTCAAGTCTAACTTTTATTGGCTATAAAATTTGAGTATTATCAAAGTGCTGTCTAAGTTCAGTACAAAAGACTAAAGCAACTGGCCTGCACTGAGACTTAGAAAATGAACAAGCAGGTCCTGCAGCCCGCACAGAACCCACATCCCCACTGCTCCCCATGCGGAGGCTGCCAAAGCAAGTGCAGTACATCTACGCAAGCTGCTGCATAGACACCTCAAGTCAGATTCCTTCCCTCTGTTCTCAACAATGAAACTTACAGCAATGAGCTCAAAAATGGGTTTTGTTGAGACTAAGGGTAACTTCTGACCATGTTGACAAAGTACATTTTATCAGTCAAAAATGTCTGGGATAGATTAAAAATAATGAAACACTGTATGGATTCACTCTGTTTCTTTAATTGGCCATATTAAATCCTATAAACACCAGATATCCTTTGGGGTTAAATGGAAAAAAACAAAACAAACAAACAAACAACAAAAGGCAACAACAAAAAACCCACAACCCCCAAACACTACAAAATAGACAACAGTCCAGGGTTGGCACAAAAGGGGTGTCCAGTCTCACAGTTTGAAATTCAGCAGGCAAGGCCTCTCATTTAAGCATGTCACTCCAGTGAGGTTTTCAGTTTGCTTTTGATGACTGAAAGGGTACAAAATAATTTTCAGTAACTTCTCATCTCCTCTATTAACTCCAGATTTTTTTTTTCTCAGAATAACAGGCTTTTGTTAATCTGAAAATCGTATTATTTTGCACTCAGTATAGGGACAAATCTGAACAAGTATTATTTTAATTTCTAAATCATTCACAAATACTGACTTCACAAGTGGTTAACTGATTAGTTCTCTAGACTGTTTTCTGTCCAAAAAGGGAACCAGACAAATCTCTGGGGAAGTATCAGCAACACTAAACTAAATGTAAAGCATCTCCATTTTCTTTTAGGATAAAATGTAAAATAGTCAACACAGTCTAAAATCATGCACTCTTATATTTACCTATTTGTATTCTGACAAGATAGCTTAACATTTTCACGTGGCCTTTGTAGAATGTCTTCCTACTTTGTGTGAATATAGCTAGTGTTATATGATTAATTTCTCAGAACACACATGCACTCATGAAAGGCTATGATCAGCTGAACACATGTGCTACGGTGCATGTTTAAAACACTACAGCTTGCAAGACCATCAGTTTGACATAACCTGTTATAGAACAAAATAGGCCAAAATTAAAACTTGTCATGCCAGCACACTTTAATTCTGTATTTATGAAATGACTTTTCAAACTTAGAAGCCCTTTTCACTACTTGAAAAGGAAAACCCACACATACACACAAAATTCTAACAATTCTAACACCATATTTGTTCTTTACCAACTAGCATATACCTTGTTTTAATGGTTTAAAGCGATTAAATCCCTCAAGATGGTGCATATTCAGGCATTACTGAGGAAATAAAGACACCCATCACTATTCTTCTTAAATTTTATTCCATAATAAAAAATAGAAGATGAAAGAAATAGAGTGTTCAAGATTTAAAGCAATTATTGGTCAATGTAAGGAGCAATAAACTAATAATCTGAATGACGATTAAGGACCTGGTTCATCAAAAGTAATTCTGAGTCCTCCATGGCGTATTTGTAGGCCTCTACAAAACATAAATCCCGATTATCTTTTACTGAAGCAGGTCCTCTATTATCTACAGAACAGTTGATATCATATTCTATTTATCCTTCTCTTTTTGTTCTTTTTCCTTCTTTTCACGTTCAGCTTTTGCTTCCTCCTCCTCATGTTGTTTTATCAACTGTTCCACCTCCTTTTGCTTCAGAACCCTTATCACTGTCTTTCCGTTCTCTCTTGTCAGTGTTGCAATTTCAACTGAAACACATGGAACAGACAGCCACGTTACATTTCGTCCTTCACACACAGCAATCATCAGAAGGGCAAGATTTGTGGTTACAACTGACAATGAAGCAGAAGGCTCCTGTCCCGGCTCTACAAGGCAGCCTGACCAGCAAGCCAGGCGGCAGCAGTCCCCTTCCGCAGCACCGTACACAAGCGCGTTAATACCTCTCCAGCGGTTCTTCCTCCAGACACGCAGCCATTTCTGCCACCGCACCAACGCGGCCTGCGAGCCCTAAACTGGGGTCTAGCCCCTGGAGCTGACCACAGTGGCCCATCCTCAGCTAAGCTATCTGTATGCCTCTGAGAAAGGTTAAGGGTGAGAGCTGCTGCATCTTCTGAAAACATTTTTCACGTAACAGCTAAAAATTCAGTAATTCACATCTAGTGTATACACATTCGCTACATTTTCTGGTTTTAAGCAAACGGTGTTCTCCCGTATTAGCAAACTGCTTACCTTTCTCTGCAGAGAGTTTGCTAACATCCATGGTTTTGTTTAGCACCTTAATGGCTAACGCAAGTGCTGTCTTTAAGGTCATTTCTCCTTCTTTGTAGTCTTGCTTTAGCATTGACACAGCTGCCTGTAAATTTCACAGAAATGAAAACAGTAGTTTTGGGCAATCAACCGAACAGTTACTTTTTGCCAAATAATATCAATACATGAGTAACAGCCGTGTTTCTACAGGTATCTACTACTGCTCCACACCAGTAATCAACAACTCAGTTTAATTAGTATGGTGCAATTTACATTTTTATTTTTTTTTGCCTGACTTTTGGAGAGGAAAAAACCCCAGAACTTACAGCACTATTATTCCCGATGCATGTAGCTTTCCACCCTCCATAATTTCCACTAGGATCACTTTGATACAGCTGAAAGCCATAATGCTTATCCCAGCCAATATACAGCAACGAAACACCAAAAGGACGTTTTCCTGTTGAAAAGAAAGCTATTAGCAATCTAAATTTAGTAACAAGATCGGTCATGAGCGACGACTACTTTCGTTGATTTCTTTTTTCAAATCTATTCCTGTGAACTAGGATTTAACAGACTGTTCTGCACTTCTGTCACTTGAGATAAGCACGCCAGCATTTCTTTCAAAGTTTTAGGGGGAGGGTGAGGCAGCAAGGGTTTATTTAATTTAACCCTAAGAGCAGGTCATTTCTGTCTCTACAAATTGTATTTTATAATCTCAGGACTTTAAATCAAAACTCGCTATTTAAAGTTTGTAGCTTGCTGTTAAAGCGTCTAACTTGGCAGTGTCAAGTCAGGTACATAAAAAGGTCATTCCTTCACGCTACATATATGTAAAATACCAGAGTCATCAGTTCACGTACTAAGGAACACCACTTACAGCATAATTTTCTAACATCTTGCTTGATCCACATAAATGGTGTTTTTTAAAGTGTTACAATATTGATACCCCTATGTAGAGTCTTACTTGTGATTCATTGTGCCATTACGCAAGATGGGCCCAAAATGTTGAAAGTTTAATACCAAACAATTCTCTGCTGGTCTTTCGAAGGCATTCACTAAATCTAAGAGCACCAAAGCATTCTATGCAGCTGGCTGGAATCTCAGGCATCAATTCCTCAATCACTAAAAAGTAGCACCCTCAGTAGCAAAACAGTAACCATGACTACCCATTCCCATCTTAAATTTGGGTATTGTTCTTCTCAGTATAACTTGTTACAGAAGAATTTGGTAGAGCTGTCCAGAGATTCAGATGCTTCTAATTATGTAACAGAATAATTCTTCAGACATTTAAAAGCACAATGGTTCATCACTGTTCATTACCTCCAAACTGTGTATAAGCCTGCTTGATGTCACACAGTGCTGTTACCAGCTGTTCACAAGGAATGGGCTCTTGATATTGTAACAAATACCTAGTATGAAAGAGAAAGCGCTTTCAAAACTGATTTTGCTGACAGTATCTTATACCACACTTAAGAAGAAACAAGTTCTTAAGTTTCAGCCTCTTTGATCTATCTGGTTTATTTCAAATAATCTACTTCCTCTCTACTGAATGCACGTTCATTTTGATTTAATACATAAACAGAATTGAACCCGACAGCGCAGGCAACTAAAACCATGTTAACTATCAGCAGACCTACCTCTGCGCAATCAGTCTCAGTTCATTTGTTAGAACATTGGCATCTGAAGTTATTCCTGCAACACTGCAAGCCATATCCCTGCAATAAAAGCATGCAAATTAACTGAATTCCTATCAATCAGAAACAAAGTCACGTCTTCATACAGCGGTTCAAGCAGAACACCTAAAGTCGGGCCTTTCTGATCAAATCTATGTAGCTGCCATATACAACACGTTCATCAGCTCCTGCCTTTTGGGTACACCAAAAATATCATGTAACCGTTTTGTAAGAGAAGCAGTAGACAGCAAAAAGTAAGCGGCTCGGTATGTTAGTTATACATATAGTTCTAAGAGTATCATGCCAAAGGTGATTAAGTCCTCAGTGTCCTTACAGGAGCCATTGGCTACTTCCAGGCGTCTACCTGGAGGCCACCAGCACACCAGAACCCTGGAGGAGCCACAGAGACGTGACAGACCTACGCTGGAAGCTGCCGGCCGACACACTGCATTTGTGTAACTGAAACTTAGTGATCTTGATTTGACCATAAGAAAGTAAGCGCTTCGTGTCCTTGGTTACTTCGTTAGCTGTTAATTTAAGATCTCTTTTGCCCAATCCGTTATCGCTACAAAGCTTTCACTACACAGAAGAATTCAAGAATCCAGGTTATTTTTCCAAGTGGACTTGAATTTTTCAGATATAAGGACTGGCCTAGTGACTACTCCAGTGCACTGTTACACTGCCTCCTTGAAAATCCAGTACGTCCTACAGTTTGAGCTGCTTGCAAGATCAAAACAGAAAGGGAGGCTGACGGCATGAAAAGCTGTTTGTGTTTCATGGGCACCTTCTGCCAACGAAGCAGCTCTACCTCCCCTACAGCCAAGAGAGCATCCTCCAGAACACTCTTTTCTCTGATACCACAAATTTAAGCTCCAGAAGGCATGTTTTATCTAATTATCTTGCTCTTTTTGAATCATGAAGGAAAAAGAAAAGATTTAGAGGATGCTAAGATGAAACAGCATGGTGATTTTTGTTTGCCTTCTTTATTCTGCCCCCCCCCCATGGCATTTTGTAAAATTGAGGTTTCCCCATATTCTTAACTGCTGCAATAACATTACCTTACATGAGGAAGTATCAACAAAGAGGCTATTCCACCTGGAAAATTCTCCTATAGGTTTAAAAAAAGCAATGCTGCTTCTTTAGAAGAACTACTGAAACAATGACAAAATAGTCATACCTGTCTAAAACACTGAACAAAAAGAATGCTAACACTTCAAGTAAAACTAGGTTCAGTGCTAAAATGTCTGAATAACACCAGTGTTTTGTTAAAGATAATGTCATTGGACATATGCTCATCATTTCAACTTACTCATTAAGTTTGTATATTTTCTCTGAGAAAAACACTTCATCAAGAAGCTTGTGAATGTTGCGTCTCTCTGCTGCTAGCAAAACACCATCATTGGCTAGAATTCCCAAGCAAGTGCCTGCATGTCCAATTGCTTCCATTGCATACTCAACCTGGTACAAGCGACCTAAGAAAGGATTTAAATTAGTAACATCAAAAAAAGTAACACTGACAATACCAAGTATGCAAGGTAACTTAACTTTGCAAGAAACTGACAGATGCTCATTGTACAACCTAGTCTTACTTCTTCAAATCTATTACCAGTTAATAGTAAATTAATTGGTTGTAAAAGAGGAGGGAGTCAGAGAAGGAAAATCCACAAATCTGATAATACAGGGCATTGTCAATATGGAAAAAACCCTTTTATTTTACAAAACAAATAAAGTCCACAGAACACTCTGTTGCAGTAGAATAAGCCAAAATGTTTTTTCAACTATCAAAATATTTGATACTAGATTCTGAGTTCATCCCATCTAAGAAACAGGAAAACATGGCTTGTACGCACTTGTTTCAGCATGTGTAAGAATAACAAGGAGAGGTGTGATTGCACCAGCAGGATACTGCGCGTTCTCAGGGGATGGGGGGGACAGTAACAAAATCCATCAATACTCAAACAAAAGATGAATGGTGAAGACTTGTTCAAATTATTTCAAAAATGTGGCAGGTGGTATTACTCATGTGGAACAGTCTCATTATTGCTTGAATTACAATGAATTTGGAAATCACTTTGGATCCTTGGTGTCCTTAGGCTACTTATAGCTAGTAAATATGTTTCCTGTAACTCATGTTGGATGGAAACAACCGACCTTTGTACAAGTAGTTTGTTATTTCGTTTTGAGCTGTTGGATAATAGAGTTTACTTGAAAGTGTGGGGTTAAAAAATACCTTCTGGAGAAAATATGGTAGTTCTGGAGTCGTATCTTCGAGACTGTAAAAAGCAATAGCTCGTTAAATATCATCGTTCTCTTGCCAGAAAGCAACATTCTAAAATCAGCGATGCTCCGAGCCGCGTATACAGAACCCAGCCACTGAAGTGACCTCAGTTTGGTACCCGCGGTGAGAAACTAACGCTGCTTCTATTACACACGCGGACCTGGCCCACGGACACCGCTGCGCCCGCACCCACGGCCCCTCCGCGGCGTGACCGCCCGCCGCCCCGCCCGCGAACGCGGCCGTGACTCGGCAAAGCCCCGGGACGGGCGGGCCCGGCCCGCAGCCCCCACTCACCATCGTGCCGGGGACGCGCTGCGGGCCGAAGCAAAGCGGGCCTGCAAGACACCAGAACGCACGTTAACCGGCCCCGCCCCGCCGTGCAGAGTCATCCTCACCGCTGCGGAAGGCGAGGGCCTCGCCCCCTCCCGCGGAGCGCAGGGCCGCGCCCCGCTCCCCCCAGCCCGCCCGCCCGCCCGCCCTCACTCACGGCAGGCCGGGGACGGCCGAGGGGCTGCGGCGGCCGAGGGAGGCCCGGCCGGCGGGGAAGAACCGGGCGCTACGGCCGCGCCCAAACCTTCACCGCTGCTTCGGAAATGGCCGCCGCGCCTGCGCGCTGCCGCGTGCCGGACTAGGGCGGGGCCGCCGCGCTCACGGCCGTCCGCGCACCGCCCCTCGGCGCCGTGAGGGGCCGCCCCGCGCCCTCGGCCCACGGGGACCGCCCCCACGGAGAGGAGAGACAGACCCCCGGCCCAGCCCGCCTACACACCGCGGGGGACGCGCTCCAGCACAAGCGGCACCGCCTTTATTGCAAGAGAGGCAGGGGTCACCGCGCAAGTACCTCCGCAGCCATCGGTCTACTGGGCAGGTGCGTTAGTATACGCTTGGGCAGTCTCAAACCACGTCTTCTCTACAGCTTCTTGGCCCACCTCAAACATTTTCATTAAGTGTTTCCATCCGGTTTTGGCTGTGATCATGAGGTATTCCTTATTCTCTGGGTACAGCAGAGCAGTGTGGGCGGCTATGACAAGGGACTGAGAAAACCTCCCGCTCACCAAGAGAAAGAGGGCTTCTCTCTCCACCTCCGTGAGCGGCAGGACACTTTCAAACCCTGCCAGAACATGCCCTCCAACACTCAAAGGATCTGGGCTCTCAATCATCATGTACATGATAGCTATTGCGACTTCAAACACATAATACCCATAACTCATGTCACTAAAATCCAGGATGCCGGACACTCTGTACTGAGGATTCTCCAGGGAAGCAGAACTGGAGTCTACTAGAATGTTGTGGTCATTAAGATCTCCATGATTGATACCTAAACACAGAAGAAATAGAAACAGTATTTATTCATTATTAAACAGCAGAATCCAACTTTTTTTTTTTTCTCCCCACTTCTTAGTGAAACAGCTCTGAAAAGGTGCATACAGGCTCAGACTAACACCACTACAAAACCACACTGTCCTCCCTCAATATCAGATATTGCCTTTCCCAGCCTTACTGCTTCCTAGGAACCTCCATTCCACTAACAGGGAACCAGATAGCAATCGACAAAGGGAACATTACGAGATCTTGCTCTGGTCTGGTACTACCTGGGATATGCTACATGTTCCCAAATACAGAATAGCAGTTTTCAAATTGTCAATTTATCTTCAACATCAATATGAGTTGAATTCCAAAATTATGATTAAATAGTTGTTTGGGCCTTTATGAAATGAAGTAGTGTACTCCATATATTCTTAAGTTGATATAACAGCATGGAAATCATCCCCTTAACTGGAAGCAAAACTCATCAGAAAGATCAAGAACTGAACCTGACTCTGGACAGCACATTCCTTCTGGCTAGTTCTGTGCTGTCTTCATGCAGCACAGTATTTGCACACGTCTAGGTAGAGATAAAGGAGCCTTTTTTTCTGCCCTCTCCAAAGAACCCAATTCCTGTAAGAAATTTCAGTGTGTCAATTCAACACAGTTACAATGACAATAAAATACTCACAGGCTCGAAAACTGCTTAGCTTGGGTATTACTTTCCCTTTAAATTGCTCAATAACTTGTTGCACAACTTCACGATATTTGTTCTGGCCCAAGGCATAAATGTATTGATCTAGAAGAGGAACATTTGCCAGGTTCCAAATGAACTGACCTCGATGCAGGCTTTTTACTGATGGATGATGGAATTGCTTTGGAAAAAGCAGAAGACAAAATAGGCCATAAGTACAAATCCTGTTGTTATGATTAAAGGGCTTGATTCCAAGCCCCTTTTAATTAATGGGTTTCTAATGAGACACATCGAAAAGCACCGTGACTGACTATTGCTTTCTAACAACAACTAAAATAATAACCTGAAGAATGATTAAGGCAAACATCCTAATAACTATGTATGACCCAAATGTTTTTTTCCCACTTTTTAGGTACAAAGATTATTTCAAGTCATTCATCACTTAAATTATTCAAAATTGATACTGACTTTCTGTAATGTGACATTTTGTAGCAACTTTTGAGGCCTTGGAAGGCCAGAGTCCCACACTGGCAGAGCCTGGATTGCACAGCTGGTGCTACAGAAAGCTGAGCAGAAAATACAAAAAACCTGCCAGTGTGCAAGGAACAGGCACACTGTGCATTTAAGTTGTCGGCTTCTGGGGACGAGGATCAGCTGGTGCATGAAAAATCCTGAGGACAGAAGTATTTTATGGAGATGCTGCATAGGGCTTTAATCTTATGAAAATTTGCCTTTGTACATCCAGGTAACCTAAATATTTTAAACAAGCAAGGTCCTTAACCTCTCTGTCATTAGCAAATGAAAAAGGTGGTTTGGAAAGTCACATACAGGGAGGAAAAACATCTCTCCCACTGCATACCATGCTTATCCTTGAATCCTCTAATGCTTATTAAGGCAGCTGGTGGGACAATTCTACCAGTGCATAGGGCAAAGAAAAAAAAAAAAAAAAAACAACTCCCATAAGAGTACCTGGCTTCCTCTTAAAAAGAAACCTATGCTTGTAATTAAGGCTCCTAAAGATAGCTAAATAATAGTCAAAACTGGAACCGTGTATGAAAAAGTAAGGAACAAGATCAAGCCTAAACCAAAAATCACAATCCAGGATCCCTAATGCTGTATAAAGCACCACACTGGCTGGAAGAATGCCATCTGGTAAACAAGCACTGCAGTCTTCCCAGCACAAACCAGATATTCCAGCAACCTATAAATGGGTTACCAGGTGTGTGAAGGCTAATAAAAAGTCATGAGCCCTTGTTACTGTAAAGCCACAGATTGTCACTTTACAGCCATAAACTTACTTCAATTTAGAGGATATGCAGCACATCCAAGCAAAAGGAGACACCAGCAGAGAAGGTGGTGGAATACTATTTTGTGCACAAAACAAAGCATGGCACATTGCTTGGCTAAATTACAGTCCTTGGTAGATGATAATCCCTATGTTAAGGGCATAAAGAGCCTTTTCCGTCAAAATCTGCATTCTCATCAACTATTTCCTCCTTGGCAGGACAATTCATAGGCATATTTGGAGACTAGCTAGTCTATATAAATTGGTTTAATCGCATTATAAGAGCGTGACCAGAGTGTTAGAAGGCAACAGTAATTTATCTTTCCCAACTGAAAAATGCCCCTGTAATTTAAGGATGTGGTTGGTAAAGGTGGCAATTCACATCTCATTATTGTCTGAAGCCGGTAGCCAGAACATGAGAAGGAAAGGTTAATGAAAAGCAATAAATAATGCAAGAGTTCTTTCATGTATCAAACTTAATTACTGGCTGATTTATCAGCTTTATTATCCTGTATAATTATGGAGCAAAGAAAGTACTTTGCATTAAGATTATTTGACGGGAAGCCGTGCAAATGAGAGAAGTGTCATAAATCTCTGTTCATTGGCACAGCTGGCATTGTAGAGAAGGAACCAACTGCTATCAATGTTAAATGGTCACAGTTCTAATGACCAGGAGAAAGAGAGCAAGTCAAAATGAATTTAAAATAATAGATCAGCCAGCTGTACCTGATGCACACTGTACAAAAATTGCTTTAAAACAAGCATTACATGTTTCTAATGCGAGTACCCTATGGTTCACTCTCCTTATTTGCCAGGTTTGAAACACCAAGCAGGTGAGTTTTGCATAAGTAAAAAGAAATCTCCCTGTTTGTGGTACAAAAATGCACTGCAAAAGGATCACCAATACCATCTCATAAGCAGCAACTGTCATGTTACCTGGGGAAGTGCTTTTGTAACAGCCAGCTTGGAGGCTGGCACCTGAAAGATGACTTAAGCTGACATCTGCATTCTCCAACTTGAATTTTGCAGGTCAGGAAAGCAGACAGCAAGCACTCAAAAAAATGCAGAGGATAAATTAATTGAGAAAGAAGTTTGTGAGGCTGGAGCAATGAAAACTCACCTCTGAGAGAGCTTTATCCAAACTGGCAGCCAGCTTCCCGATCTCATAGAAAATCTGAGTGTTTGTTGCAATTTTTGCTACAGGAGTACCTGGCAGGTAAGTCAGCAGTCTGACCATGTACTTTTTGTTCCCAGGTCCAGTATCTAACAAGTGAAGAAAGATGCAGTCAATTGCTTCAATATATGCTATTGAGTATTAGTTAATGCAAGAAGCAAAAAAGGTTTATCCCAGTGTAGAAGTCAGCAGCTGTAGCTGATGAAACAGGTATCATTCAAAGACTTGATTTACCAGAATGCTGTACAATGATGTGCAAACCTTAACACTCTTGCAATCTATGCTGGACTTTGAGTCCTTGGGCTTGGAATTGCCTCTGCATACAGCAGGTTTCCTACAGTGCCCGCAAACACCCCTTTACACAGTTTTGCAGAACAGAGGCTCTCAGGAATCACAGCTTTTGTAAGCAAGTTACAGTAAAAATAAAAGCAAGCGCTATTGAAGCAATTTGTTCTGGCATCATAGACAGTCTGGAACTGTATT